TGTTGAGTCCCTGTGTCCATCCTTCCCTTTCAGCTTTAATGGGAATACAGTGCGTGTAAGCTTCCTGATCTGGAGTTTGCATGTACACCTGAACAGTTAGCTCCTTCATCTTGCTGTGCAGCCAAACTCCAGCATGCTTCCAGTCTTGCACCTGAAATCCCATACCCGTGTCTTGCCTCTCCACGCCCGTGCCACCCCCATTCTGTCATTTGGCCCTGTGAACTGACGCTCCTGGTGACTCATATAAGTAGAATCATACTGTATTTGCCCTTTTTTGTAACTGGGTTATTTCACTTCACATACTATTCTCAAGGCTTATCCAAGTTACAACGATGTCAAATTTCCTTTTTTAAAGGCTAAATGATATCTCCATTATTTGTTTCTGCCACACTTTGCTTATCGATCGTCTATTGATGGATACTGGAGTGCCTAGCTTCCACTGTCTGGTTATTGTGAAAAATGTTGCTACAAAGCTGAGTGTGCTAATATCTCTTGGAGGTTCTGCTTTGAATTACCCTGTGCCCAACCAGAGGGGCGGTCATGCTTCTCTCACTGCCCTAATGTGTCATTCGTGATCACTGGACCAGTTCATATCAGCACCAGAAAAAGAGATGCAAACTTCCGCCTGTAACTATTAATATTTACAAAGCAACCATCTCATAGCCTAGTCCCTATGATGATGCCTTTTCTTGATAAATAGATAGATAGATAGATAGATGATAGATGATAGATAAACGGCCCACCATGGAAAAGCTCATGTTCACAAATAGTTAAGCAGAATATGATCATCAGCTACAAACCAGTAGGTCTCCTGGCAGACAGGCAGCTTTCCCCAATTCTCCTCGGGGCTCGTGGCCCCGTCCTTCCCCTTGGTTTCTTCTTGCATTCTACCTGCCTCTCCTTGATCAATCTTTCATTGATACTTCCCTTAAATCAGGCAAGAATAAAGGACGGACTCTTCTGAGTCGCCCTTGCTTTCACATTGGCTTTTTCTCTTAATAATTCTGTCAGCCATTTTGGAAAGGGCTTGAGCCATGTGATGCTAATATACAGAATATCGGTCTGAGATAAATCCTCCTTTTCCAAAAGACCAAGAAAGGAGGAAACGCAAGCCACGTACTGGCAATTTGTAAAGCAGATCCCTCCTTTTGTTCTGACTTGAGTTTTAAAAGCTTGGAAGCCAAACCGGTCTTTGGCACTCACCTTTCCAGCTCTTTACAACTCTAGAGGCCCGAATGTCTCCCAGGCACATTTGCGTCTCTGACAGCTCCTCTGCAGGAGGAGGGCATTTCCTAGGTTGTGGAACATTCCTTTTTGGCTTTTCTTCAGTTGTGTCTGAACCAGGAGGTCTGAGACTGTTGGCCGAGAGTTAAGTCAAGGAGTCATGGGGCCCCCGGATTCTTAGTCATTCCGTTCCCAGGAGAGCTACTTTAAACAAGGTTCTGGAATCTTCTAATCTCTATTTCTTTGTCTCTGTAAAAGCAATAATGCCACCTGTTCATAGGCCTAGTCGGAAGCTTAACTGAGGAAGTGGGTATGCACGTTTCCATCATTGTATCACAGAATATGCAGTTTAAAAACGATCAGCTAATTTGTTTTGCACATAAATGGATTGGGGATTTTGCTTTGTGGCTTTTGGCTGAGACCAAGTGCAGAAATAGATTGGTAAATGGTCGCGATCTGAAAATAAAATTACGAATGTGCCTATGCTTCAAATATTTTTCCTCAAATGTTCTTGAATTTTTCGAGTGTTCTCAGAAATTACACTGGAAAAAAGTCTAAAGCATCTGTTATGTATCACGGTGACTATAGTTAGTAACAATGAATTGTATCCTTGAAATTTTCTGAGAAAATAGTTTTATGTTTTTAAAAATTGTCTTGTTAGAAAGACAGAGCGGGAGCTCACTAATACGTTCCCCAAATGCCCAGCTGGACGAGGGTTGAAGCTGGCCTGGTCCAGGAGCCAGAGATTCGGCTCAGGCCTTACAGACAAGGGCGGCGACCCAGCGGCCCGAGCCAGCAGCGCTGTCTCACAGCTTGGCTCAGGATTGCAGAGCCAGTGTCTGGAGCCAGGCTTTGGGCCATGAACACTTCAACCCTTGAATTCAGCGTTAGGCCGAACACCCACCTCAAAGTGAGTAGATCTTAAGTGTGTTCGTGACGCACAAAGTATGTGAAGTAATTCATATGTGAGTTAGATGAATTTAGCCTATGCACATTGTATACATGTACTAAAATATTGGGTTGTAAACCAACAATATCATATATACACACACATTATTATATATATATATATACATTTTACTTATCAATTAAAAGTTATCTTGGAATTTTCATGTTTTCCAAAGGTTGTGTTTTATTTTTCAAAGTTCTTTTTTTTTTTTTTCGAGAAGAATCTCTAACTTTTTTTTATAAAATTTCCATATAAACTTTTAGACTTTGGTTACATTATAAAATTTTCCAGTTAATATGTGTTTGCCTATAACAAGCATATATGAGAGTATACATACACATGTATTATCCCATTAATTTTGAACAAGAAAATTGTATAATTCCTTTCATCTCCAGGACTTCTACCAAATATCGTAAAACTGCCTTTGATTTTTGTCATTCTCAGAAACCAAGTGGAGGCGCAGTAGTTATCAGTACCCTGTTCAGAAGATGAGCTGTTGGGAGCAATGATTTTTTCCAAAGTCCGCTGGGACTCAGGGAGCCAGCGCTCGGACTCAGCTAAGCCCTTGATCCACTCCATGCCCAGGGCCACGTGGTCAGCTGCTGGGAAAATGAGTGTGAAAAAGCCTGGCAGGAGAAGGCTGTGAGAGGCTTGGTGGAATTGGGCGGGACTGAACAATAGCAAAAACCGAATGCCATGCTCCAAGGCTGGTATTGGGGAGTATTTGAATTGCTTCAGATTCTGTTGGTCTATTCTCTTTTTTCTGCTCATTTTTAATTTATGTCATAAGTTATAAATTTATAAAGTGAAAACTGTACTAGTACAGAACTCTGGTGCACTGCCACTGCCGCCTGCCTTGCCTCAACTTACATCAGGAGGCTAGATTTAGATACAGGTATAATTTCATTCCATTGGAAAGGCAGATTGACAGAGAGAACAAGAGACAAAGATCTTCCTTTCACTGATTCACTCTCCAAGCGGCCACAACAGCCAGAACTGAGCCGATCCTAAGCCAGGAGCCAGGGGCCTTTTTCAGATCTTCTGCGCAGACACAGGATCCCAATGCTATCCTCTGCCGATTTCCTAGGCCACAAACAGGAAACTGGAAGGGTGGTGGAGCAGCCGGAACACAAACCAGTGTTCATATGGGATCCTGGAGCTCGCAAGGTGAGGACTTAGCCACTGGGCCATCACACCAGCCCCAGGAAACTTTATTTATTTATTGATGATTTAGTTATTTTTATTGAAAGATGAATATACAGAGAGGAGGAGAGAAACAGAGGAAGATCTTCCGTCTGATGGTTCATTCCCCAAGTGACAGCAACGGCTGGAGCTGAGCCAGTCTAAAGCCAATCTAAAGCCAATCTAAAGCCAATCTAAAGCCAGGAGCCAGGCGCTCTTCTGGGTTCAGTGTCTCAAGGCTTTGGGTCGTCCTCGACTGCTTTCCCAGGCCACAAGCAGGGAGCTGGACGGGAAGCAGGGCCGCTGGGATTAGAACTGGCGACCATATGGGATCCAGGGTGTGCAAGGTGAGGACTTTAACCACTACGCTATCGTGCCAGGCTGAGGAAGCTGTATTTAAAACAAACAAAAATAGCACTCTCCAGATTACCACTTTCTTAAATGTGCTATTCTTATTACCCAAATATCAGATTCTTCTTCTTCTTGGTTGTAAATTCGCAGTGCAAATGCAGTTCCTGAACACTTGGTCCTAGGCATACAATTAAACAAATCAGCACCTACCCTGTATGTTTCATTCTTAGACTGCTAACATTGAGAAATAATGCAAGGAGACTTTGTAACTAGAAAATGTAAATAGAAATTAGTCTTGATTAATTTCCATATGTCACAATTGTTCTTCAGGCCCTGTTAAATACCTGCAGTTAGGCAAAACTGGGATTATCTTACTCCAAAACTATTTGGCATTGCAGTTAAGAAATGAGAAGAACTAGTCCTGATTGCCCCCCACTGGAGAATGTCTCACGGGAGCAGCTGTCACTGCCTTCCCCGTCTGCAGACACGGGAACAATTAGATGTGGAGATGCTTTTGCTTGCGTTCATGAAAAGTACAAGTCAATTTTTATTTTCCATAAAATTGAGATGAAAAAGGACAGTAGAGATTACACTTGATGGACTACTGGGCAGTCCATCAAGTTTAAAGATCTTGCTAGCATCATGCAGTGATATTAAGGGCTATACGATATAACAAAACAAAACAAAAGCACGGTGCTCAATGGCTAAATCCTCTTGCAAGCACCAGCATCTGGTATGGGCATCAGTTCATGTCCTGGCTGCTCCACTTCCCATCCAGCTCCTTATCTGTGGCCTGGGAAAACAGTCGAGAATGTCCCAAAGCCTTGGGACCCTGCATCTATGTGGGAGACCTGGAAGAAGCTCCTGGCTCCTGGTTTCGGGTGAGCTCAGCTCTGGCCATTTTGGCCACTTGGGGAATGAACCAGTGGACAGAAGAACAAACAGAAAAGATAAAGCTGAGCTCCATTTAGCATAGATGATATAAATCCAGTTTAAAAAAACGAAGTCAGATTGCGCTCAAACCCAACTAAAATGGGAGCTGTGACCCTGAAATGACCCTGGGGCTGGTTCCTAGAGCAACTGAATGCTGAAAGTTCCAAAAAGCGGGCAGGACTCCCTGTGGCCAGGACTACCCCTCGTCTCTTGAAACAGCACACGCGTGTTCTGAGTTCCACGCATCTGTTAGGGCATCAAGGTCTCAGATATCATATCTTTATATCATTGGATCCCAAAAGGAATCTAGCAATTGCATGAGAAGCGAAAACACCACACAGTGGGAAAATAGTCCTTTTTGTAAGTCTTTATTTTTTAGTTGCTCCTCCCGTAGTAACGCACTGAAAGGCATAACAGTTGATATTGTACAAAGCATTTGAAGAAAGTACCTCAACTTGCTGATTATTTCAAAACGAGATTACAAACAAACAGAAAACGAAATCTGGTTCTTTAATAAAGGGCAAAAGAAAAAGCCAAACAAAACGACTGAATACACTGTTATTTACTTCTCAATTTTAACGTAAGGTGGGGAACACTTCATTTTACAAATAGGATATACATGAACATAACATCGCACAATCGTGCAAACGACCAGCAGAAAACCTGGGTACAGCCTGTGATCAGAAGTCATGCTTTCATGAAATGATAATCGTTTATACAATTGGATTGATTTCAGTATTACAAAAACTAAGTCGCATCTATTCGTATTTAGTTCATTAAGAAAGAAAAGAAAACAACAACATAAGGAATATTAAGGAAAGCCCAACGCTGCCGGCACTCCCACACGCAGTCACCTTGGTCCTTGCAGCGCTGACTGCGTGCCGCGGACGTCAGAGTAGTGGCTGACGGGAACAGTGCTACTGGAATCAACAAACAAGAGTTTGCCAACAAATAAATACAGGATACACGCGACAAAAAGATTAAACATTAAAAAACAGTGACATGATTGTCTAAAATTAAGATGTCATTACAAGGATTTGGCAAACGTTTGATTAGTGGTACAGCGGTCTGGTGAGAAACGGGTCCCTTCACTGCCTTCACCTCTTGAGCATGCGCATCCAGAGTTCCAAATATACACATGCCCTTTCGTCCCTAGTCTTACACAATGTCCTTACAGAGGCAGAAGGAGGGGAGTGAGTACGCCCTGCGACCAGCTTCTGGAATCATCGAGTGTGCATTTCCTCCAACTACTTCCATCTTCAAAGCGTTAAATTACACAAAACTTTAACAAAGAAAAACTCATCTCTAATTAAAAGCAACTGTTCCCAATCATATCAGGTGATCTTGCACAAAGCAAGAGTTCCGTTCCCTGGGAGCGTTCGCTGCTAGCCAGGCAGCCAACCCACTTCGCCACTCACCCACCCACACGCTCGGCTGCGGCGAAGGGAAGATGCTCTCTGCCTGGCAAGATTTCCATTTTCCTTGAATCACTTGAAGTCACATTGATGCTCCAGAAGTCAGCAGCTGCCTTTGCTGTGCAAAACAAAATATCGAGAATAAATAGTTTCCTTTTTTCTTTATCTTTTTAATCATTCAGTTTAAGGTCCCCAGACTTTGGACGAGTGACCCCTCAGGTTCATAAGGCATTCTGCTCTGCAGTCTTGGAAAGAGTGCTACAGGAAGGAGCTCCACGCTACTCTTGGACTTGGTCCCACTCGGCTCCACCTCGGTAACGTCATACGTGGCTCATGGACTGGATGGCACTGGATTCTGCCGCCGCCCTTGCCATGCTGTGCCACACGTTGGAAGAACTGTGGGATGGAGAATGGAGGGACTCCTTGTCGGGCAATGACAGCATCATAGCATATGCCTGGGATAAAAACAAGAAACTCAGTAAATGGCATTTGCAAATGATCACTTGTCATTTGTAGAATACTGGTTGTGAATGTCTCAAAGCAATGGGACTGGAGTAGGAGCGTCATGCATAGGTGTGCTTTCAGGGGAGGCGTACTTAGTCATTGCTGCTGTTGTTAACTCGGCATGACTACTGCTGGCTTTCACTACTCAGGAGTCACAAAAGTGACAGACACTACAACAGAGTAAGTCTTCCCATCGGGAACATCAGTGGGGCATCCCTTGAGCAACTGAGTCATCTCCCTGGCCCGGGATAAACTAAACACCCATTGCCTACACCTGTTCAATTCAACAACGCATCACTGTATGCTGGGGCTTGAAACTGCAAATACTACAAGGCTACAGACTTGCCTCGTGGAGAGCTGACCTTTCCCCTCAGAGCACTGGAGGTAAAAGGGCTTGCCCAAAGCCAGTCACCCCGAGAGTGGGAGAGGTAGCATGAAGTCTTACAGATTCTGCCCGGCTTTGAACCCACTGTCCTGTCTCCAATTTCCCACCACGTCTGAAAGATTCAAACGCAGACACTCTGAGACTTGAAACCAAAACCCGAGACTCAACCACGTTAGAACCAGCGTGCAGCCGTGGGCTGCCAAGCAGAAGGTGCACTTGAGGCATTCCGTGAGGAAGTGCTCTTTCTTCCCTGTTATCATGTCAAACTCTCAAGGGCTCAGAGAATCCCCAGCGGCTGCCAAGGAAAATATTCAAATGAAATGTTTGGTCTTGACTTGTGAGTGAACTTTTCACTGTTGATTTGCTATTGTTGGTCTCATCCATTGCTAAACTTGCTTGTCAAAATGCTGCTCAAGTGGAATCATTAAAGTCCTGCCAGAGACATTCCACCGTCTGTAAACAAAGACAGACCCGCCTCTGCTGCTAGGCAGGCTTCGGCCCCGGACTCGAGCTGAGACATGTGGCCGCTCTGTGGTTTCCCCCGTAACCATGGCATTCAGTTAGCAGATCTGTCCGCGCAGGCTGATTTCCACGTGCTGGGTCACTGCGCTAAATGTACACATCTGACTTTTCTGTGTGTGATTTGCCCTGGCGACCTGTATGAAATCTCCATCCAGTCACAGGTATTGCTTAATCACCTGCGCCGTGCCAAGCACGGGGCCGGGGCCGAGGGAATCAAGGAAACAGCACGCACATTCCGTCGCAGATTTCAAAGAGGGGCCTTCCAAGGCGACAGCCGTGGGGCACCAGAAAAAGCTTTTGTGAGGATTCCAAGAAGGTTTTGCACAAAATAAATGTATCTTCTAATTGAATTTCCCTGAATTTTCTGAAGGCTCGGTCTGAGTTCCATGAAGACTTCACACGTGTTACCTACTCTGATTCTGCGCCCTCTGTGACAGGTCAAGAGAGAGAACGTTCTGAAGGAGCTAGGAAAACTCGCTGTAACACTGAGAGGGGCACAAACAGGGCGTCGGAGCCGCACATTCCCACGCAGCCACTGGCTCCGAGCCGCGTGCAGCTGGGCCAGGCTGCCCGGGGAACGTCACCCTCCCCATGTCAGAGAACAGCAGTGGCGGCTGCTTCGAGGGCTGAGAACAGGCAGGGCTACCAACCCGCCCAACAGCGTGCCTCACAGACCATGATCGTCTTCTGGAGAACAGTTTTTGGAGGATAGAGTTTTTTAAGAGACAATTGTGCTCAGAGCACAGTTGTTGCATACTGGTCTACTATTTTGGATTCACTCGCTATATGCACTACTATTTTAAATAGATGACTGTTCTGAGTAAAGTGTCTAAACCCATACTTCATAGAAACTAGCAAATCTATTATATCTTCCTTTATTTCAATCAGAGCCAATAAACATCTTAAGGCACAAGAACCCCAAGGAGCATAATCAACGGATGAGAAACCAGTGAATGAATCAACAAATGAATCAAGACTTTTAGGAAATACATTTAGTTTGCAAAAGGCCTGAGATATAATCAAGCAAAAGAAAAATGCAAGGTAGGCTTGCAAAACCTGGTATTGCTCTAGTATGTCTTGTGACGACAACTGTTCCGCGGGGTCTGGGGCTTCGAGTCACAATGCCGATACTGATACTGAAATATATCGTGTCCGTCACCACCAGGTTCTCAGAACCTTCTGCTTCCTGTCACACCTGATGATTTCTGAACTTTCTTGATGTTTTATCTTACAGTTAAAACTAACGTTGGTGGAATACTTGAAAGGAGAGAAAACCAGATTCTCCCGTTGTTTTTATCAGTTAGGAAGGAAGAATGGGAAATCAAGTACTTAAACAAAAATGCAAGCCACCTAAAATAGTTGTTTCTGAGCAAAACTGAAATGTCTATTCCTCGTTAGTTTATTTTTAATATCTCAAGTTGAAAAAAATCATCTTCATTCCCATGTAATCCTAGAACAAAAAGGACGCCTTTGCCCTCCCTTTTAGAATGCAGAGATAGTATTCATGGCTCTGAACTGATGCTCTCTAGTCCAGGCGGCCTGTCTGGGAGCCCTTAGTGCGAAGGTAGACTGATCTAACTCCACCTCCAGAAGGAACATCTATGTTGCCTGTCACATACATATTGCCTTAGACTCTTCTCCACACTGACTTTATCATCCTGTTGACCCAGTATTTTCCCCTATCTTTGTTCAGATATTTCTACATTTGCAGTTAAGACCCAAAGACGAAGTCATTTCCAAAAGCGCATGCCAAAATGGGCAAACTCTTTGCTATGTCTGATCGACTCCAAAGTCACTAAACAGCTGGACTAATGCGATTGGGAAGAACAGTGTTAGGGAGTTTATCTGAAGCCGCGATTTGGCTGAGTATAGATGTCAAAAGTACAGACTTCTCTCATTTTTTAATAAAAGAGCTAGAATCTTTTAACTGACATGTATGGGTTTTATTTTTAGCTACCACAGTGCTGAGAGAATTAATTAGACTACCATACATTCATGCAATAAAAGCTAATGTTTTCTTTCTAGATCTGCCATCATGTTTAAATAATTTTTAAACATGTTATTTATTTTTTTGGAAAGGCAGAGTTGGGGATGAGGAGCCAGAGAGATCTGCATTCCCCAAACGGCTGCATCAGTTAGAATTGGGCCAGTCAAAGCCAGGAGCCAGGAGCCTCCTCCAGGTCTCCCAGGAGGGTATAGGGCCCCAAGGGCCTGGGCAGCCTCCACTGCTTTCCCAGGCCACGAGCAGGAAGCTGGATGGCAAAGGAAATTTAGCCAGGACCGTAACTGATGCCCTTCGGGGACACCAGGCCACAAGAGGAGGTCTAGTCTGCCACATTACCTGTCCAGCTCCCAACCTCAAGAGATGCCACTCACTGGATGTGGAGCTGCAAGCTGCATTTGTTCCTGCTCCTCAGCTTATTCCTAAAGTCTGCAAGCAGATGACTTAATAACTAACTCGTATCAAGGGATGAGGATATAAATTTGTTTTCTAAAATTCTGAACATATAATGATGCTGACAAAATTTATAGATGCAAAGCAACTAGAAAACAATTCAGAGGAGATACACTAATATTTAAAATCCAATATCTGTTCTGAAGTAAGAGGCGATGGCTGGATAAGGTCTATCACAGATGTTCTGGGGAGATTACAGCTGCTAATTGCTGTACTCATATTTTGATACAGTCAAAGACAAAGTAAAGATACGACCACTTTGAGTACATCTGAACCTGCTTGGATTCTAGCATACTGCAAAGATCAAGTGTGTGCTTGTTGGTCATCAAAGGCAATCACATTTTCATGCACAGTGTCACATGGAACTGGGCTGCAGGAGTCTGTACCTGTGATTTGGACTTTCTGGGTAACGGCTGTTTAAGTTCCTCTGGCACATGGGAGGTACTAAAAGCAGACAGCTCAGCTTCAGTGTATGGATTATCTTCCATCTGCCTCATTTTGAGGCTATCTGTGAAGTGCCTTATATGATCTAGAGCAGAAAGTCCACTTTTATATTCTTCCTCTTTATACCTAAAATGAACCAATGGGAAAGCACAGAAATTTTGTTTTGCTTTTTTTCCTTTTGGTTTGTTATCTAACGAAATCACTTTCATTTGCATCTCTACAGCTGTGAAATTCATGTTGAATTTCGGGTAGAAAATAGCATGCATCAGTTACTTATTTCTTAAAAAATGCTTACAAAATATATGTCAAAAAGTACCTTTTTTAATATTTTAGTAACTAAAATCAAGCATAAACTTAAAATAAAGAGCTAATTTAGTACTGTATGGAGATAAAATTCATGCATTTATAATTCCCATTTAAAGTAAAAGCTAATTATTGTCAATATTTGGTTGATGACCAATCTCCTCATGAAAGCCTATTCCCTTCAGTTTATCTGTTTGATTTTTCCTTTACAGATCTGTCACGACCACACGTTAACACAGACAAATCTGAGGCAGAGGTGTAGCTCAGTCACCTTTGGTTGCCGGTCGTGCCAGGCTGTTGAATGAGTGGTGAAGTCTTTCCGGCTTATTTTTCTCGGAGCTGGCATCTAACATTCAATGGCAGTGCCCTTGCAGACTGTGTCAATGCTGTCTAGCCCAGGTTAACCAGGTCCTGCAAACACTGTCCTACTGACACGACGGGAGAGTTTGTGAACGGCCACTTTTCACCTACTGAAATGGCATGTCTCGAGGACACTCTGTTAAAAAGGTTGTGATTTCTATGACCTATTCCTCATCAAGTGCTTATTATCCGAAACAAAACAGGGCAGGGGCGCCGCGCTGCGGGTTAAGTCAGGCCTGGTGCTCACCTCCCTGGGGACGCCTTGCAGCTCATCTCCAGGGCACTGCTGTCCTCACAGTCATCTTCAGGATTTCCTTCATGTAACATGCTTGTCCCTGGCTCCTTTCCTGTTTTCCCAGTCATATCATTGTCTTCATCCTCTTCATCCAGCAACACCTCGTCTTCCACTTCTTCGTCATCCAGTAGGTCTGAGTGCTGGCTGGCCACCAAAGCCTTCTCATCCTTAAAGTGACTGCCGTTCATTCTTGCCAAAGCATGAAAAGAAGGGCCAATGGTTAGTTTCATCTTTAAAATTGCAGTTAGCTTTCTTATCACTTCTCCTCGACAATAGATAGAAATTTTAACACTGATATAAGAAAAAATGAAGAAAAAAAAACCAGATGACTATTTGCATTACAAATTGAGCCTCTGGGAGGCCTAGAATATGGTCTAGCCTTTTCATTTCTTCTCAGGCCTTTTTCTGATAAGTGAAAGTGTTCTATGTGACTTAAAAAGTGCATAATGTACTAAACACCATGCAGGTGCCCATCAATTAAAATAGTTGATCTCTGGAATATTCTTTTGCCAAGGCCTTACTACCCACAACTGAACCCTTCTGCCCACTGTGGATCCCAGAGTTCAGGCAATGGTAAGGCGGCAGCCAAGGACGAGCTGGCATTTGCTGTTTTGAAATCCCGCCCAAACATGGAAGTGACTGACAGCTCACTTATTTGGGCTGCTTCCAACTTATCCCTCGTGGTTGGAGCACACAACGCTCTCTCATGCCAGGGAGACGGCAGGCTGGAAGGCTTTAGCATCGTCATTGCACAAGCACAGCCTGAAGCTTCCTTGGTGACCATGTTTTATGCCATGATGCAAAAGGAAGCTATATTCTGAAACGTCATTTGGAATTCTTTTATCTATATCACAAAGATTGTGATAAATGATTTAAGAGGTAATCAGAAAAAGATTAGTAACAGGAATTCCAATATCGTGTGTAAGGATGTTTGTAAAACTGGAACAAGCTTTTTTAGAGTTTAAAATGAACAATAAAGTCTATAAATTTTCAAAATTTTGCTATAAGATTGAAAAGCTAAAGCTACAAAATAAAAGTATCTTAGAATGGAGAGTATCCTTTCTAACTTCTCCCCTGTGATGGCAAGCAGCCACGGAAGTTAGTTGTTTTCTTGCTCAGTTGCAGAAAGCTAGTGATAAACTCCTCATGGGCACCAGGGCTGATGATTTCTGTGTCATTCATAACCTTTCACTCCGTCTTGCTCCCCTACGCATCTACTAAATCAGCGAAGCTGTGGGGAGTGGGAAGGTGTTTTCCGGTTGTATGTGAGTCAGCTATCAGCAACACTCGCCTGTCACCTTTCCATACACAAGAAAGAGAGCATAACTTCACGGTGAGATTTTCCACAATACACAAACTCACCACTACCTAACAAAGCAGTCTTAGATGACAAAGATGCACATAGTACAAATCCATTTGACCTCCAAAAGTGTTATCAGTACTAAACTTTCCATATAATCAAGCTCTTAAGCTCTTTTGTCAAAGAATAATGAAAATATATTTTGCACAGACGTAAATTATTAGTTTCCAGACACATCGCCAACTTATAAACTTAAATGGATCAAACTTGTTATTTTAAAAAATGAAAGAAAAAGGAAAAAGGAACAGAACAAAAGATTGCATGGATGAAGACCAAAACTAACAAAAGCTAACTATTTAAGAAAGCCTATTTGTTAATTAACCTTTCAAATGTGGCATTTTATAGGGAATAAATTACTCATCAAAAGTAGCCTGATGGGAGTTAAGGAAAAGTTAGATGACCTGACCTTCCTCCTCTGTGCTGTTCAGACATGTTGATGCCAGATGCTGGAGCTGCACTGGCTCTCGACTCTCCAGTTAAGACTAAGAAATCGGAATAGGGACCTCAGAGACCAAAGGGTGCTTTTCTGTGCATCTTACAAATGTTGTTACCAACATGCATGACTGTGACTGTGCTGCCCTCGTTCACACCCCTCTGCACTTCTGATCATGTGTCTTCTCTCTCTGATGTGCATGGAAGGGGCATGTTCAAGTGCACAATGTTGTTTTTAAACTTATCACAGGCTGAGAAAGACCCGTTTCTCCTTTCTGTCTTAGATAGACTTTTATATAATTGAAGAACATACATGGCCACTGATTCTTATATTATTTTGGTTTTAAAAAGTTTAATTGAAGCTTGCCATAATGGAAAATGTTACTAAAAGATTTTATAGAATCAAAAACAGGATATTAACTTAATGCTTGTGTGATGAAACTGCTCAGTACGCAATGAGCCTTGGACAACAGTGTAAATCAAAAATATGATCTCCAACAAGAAGAAAGGAAAGCAGGGAGGTAAGCTGGAGGGAAGGAGAACGGAAGAGAGGAAGGGGAGAGGACGCATCCCTACAGCTTAAGAATGGCCTCTAGGAACTACGTTAAATCTGTTCTATTTGTATTAGTATAACATTAACGTGAGAATTGATGGCAATCGTGTTACGGCCATTGCCATGCATTTCTTTGATCCTGAGTTAAAAAAAAAATAGAAAGGAAATTTACTTTCACTAATGAATTTTAGGTTAAGCTTAAATATACAACACAGTATCTTAATAGGTCACTGGATAGTTATGTTTAAGAAAATACAGCTCCTTTGTGAAATGTCTGCCCATTTCCCGTGCCCATTTCTTGAGTGGTTTGTTTGTTCTGGTGTTTTGGTTGTTCTGGAGATCTTTGTATATTTTGGAGATTAGTCCTTTATCCCCTATGTAGTGTGCGAAGATCTTCTCCCATTCTGTGGGTTGTTTTTTTACTTTGTTGATTGTGTCCCTTGTTCTACAGAAGCTTCTTAGTTTGATGTAGTCCCATCTGTTTATTTTGGCCTTGATTGCTACTGCTTTTGGTGTTCTTTTTAGGAAGTCAGAGCCTACACCTAAGTCTTGCAGGGTGTTTCCAACATTTACTTCCAAAAGTTTGAAGGTTTCTGGATGTAGGTTAAGGTCTTTTATCCATTTTAGATTTGATCTTAGTGTATGGTGAGAGATGTGGTTCTATATTCCAAATGGCAAACCAACATACATATTAAAAAATGCCCAAGTTCCCTGGCAATTAGGGAAATCCAAATTAAGACATCAATGAGGTACCACCTAACTCCAGTAAGAGTGGCTCACATACAAAAAACCACCAACAACACTTGCTGGCCAGGATGCGGGGAAAAGGGAATCCTACTCCACTGCTGGTGGGAATGCAGATTGATACAGCCTCTATGGAAATCAGTATGGAGAACACTCAGAGAACTAAAAATCTGCATACCATATGATCCAGCAATAGCACTTCTAGGAATATATCCAAAACACTTGTTACATGAGAAACCAACAGGTACCCCTATGTTCATAGCAGCACAATCAATAATCGCAAAAACTTGGAAGCAACCAAAATGCCCATCAACAGAAGACTGGATAAGAAAGCTACGGTTCATTTACTCCATGGAATACTACTCAGCCATTAAAAAAAACCGAAATGCAGTTTTTTGTGGCCAAATGGGCCCAACTGGAAACCATTATGCTAAGGGAAATGAACAAATCCCCAAAAGCTAGATACCACATGTTTGTCTTAATTTAAAATGAAAAGATGTCAAGCTGAAAAATAGTACCTGTAAAAGGTAATATTATTTCAAACTCAAACAGCCTGTATCACATGCAATAAGATATTGTGATGCAACCAATGAACCAACAATCAATGTGAGTCAGATTGCTTATGATCTATATCAAAGAATTGTAACACCTAATATACTTTTAAGACCCTATCCTATTCAGCAATGGGGCAGGAGAGCAGAGAAATCTTCCATCTTCTGAGAATGTGTGAGGAAGACGTGAAGTATAACCTACCAAGAATAAAACAGGTAACTTATAGACAACAGACTTAAATCAGCATTAGACATTAGCAAAATTATAAAGACATCCAGGGGGAATCAAGAGCAATCCTGACAACCTTTTAACAGGAGGTCATATGCACAGAGCAGGGGGGGGGACCCAGAGTGGAGTAGGGAGACAGGAGGCGGCTTGTATCCCAACCGTGGAGACTCCCAGATCCTCACCAAGGATCAGTACAGGCACCAAGGACTATATCCCAATTACCAAGGAGAACACGGGGAAATGGAGTGCCTTTGGAGGCCAAGAACTCTGAAGTCATCCACTCCCGCTTGGATCTCCCACATGGGATGGAAACCCAAATCCTTCCTCGCAGGAGTCAACGTCATTGAACAACAGCCAGGAACCCAGAGTGGCCCACAGAAACACAAGAACAGTAAACTTTCTTGGGGTCTAGGGAGGAGAAGAACTTTCTCTGTTCCTTACCTAGTTCCAACTTTGGATCCCCACCCTCTCTTGCAATGACCATCAGGGTCGCTCCAGACCCCACCTTCCCCCCCAAAAAAGTTACATTAGATAGACAGAGAACAACAAGTACCAGAGAGGAAACGATTAGCCTGGACTCACTTATACCTTACTAGGTAGGACACAAAGATAAGTTACTCCTCACTAAGGTATTGAAAATTTCTCTGCAAACCCCTCCTAAAACTGTTCTGTGCCTCAACTCTTGACAAATGCCTTGTTAGAGTTATAAGCCAGCATGGGCTATCCCAAAATCTACCAAGTTCAGTAAAATTATGCTTCAACACTGCAAACTACTCAATACAAAAATGAAAATAGACACAAGAGAGCTGAATAGTACCCTATAGCCATTTTAAGGTGTATAGCAGCCAGTTGTGTATAAACTAAAATTGAAATGTCAATGAAATAATCACAGGATATTGTTAAGAACTTGGCATTTTCTAATCATATTGGTCACTCAATACCATGTCAATTAACTCCATAAGGTTGTAAACCATTGTTGATGTTGTGGCTTTTAATGGGCTGGGGTGATATTCTGTCAGCTCTGCCTTCAGACTAGAGATGGTCTCCCCAAGAAACTGTTGAATTTATTTGGATAATAAGATGCTGGACACTATGCAAAGTAGATGCTTGCAACGAAAGAATTATGACTGGATTTGAACTGTAATACTGCAATAAGGTGGAGGAATCCACCATGGGAGGAGGGTATGGGGAGGGGTTGGGGGAATCCCAGAGGCTATGAAAACTGTGTCATAAAATCAAATGTAATAAAAAAAGAAAATACAGTTTCTAGTATCATATTTATAATTATAGCTTGCAGACAAGAAAAAATATTTCCAGTAGTGTTGGCAAATTAATATTTCATTAAATTCACATTTTGATGTAAAGTGCAAGTTAAGAGAGGTCAATGAGTTTCACATAGAAATACACACACATATATACATACAAATATATATAAAAGCACTTTGAAAATTGACTCAAGCATAATTAAACAGTTCCTTTTAATGGAAAAACTTTGAAAGTTACGTCTTGTGTTTTGCATGATACACGTTTTCCGATGAAGTTTAGGTTGACGTCACACAGGTACAGTAAGGAGAGAACCACCGAGGAAAAGGGCACCACGTGCTGTAATCATTGATACCAGGAGTCACTCTTGAGTCATGATTCCACTGACTCTGGTGACGCCCTGCCCTTCCACTTGGGAAATTTGGGTCAATCTTCTGTCTGGCTATCAAGACTAAGAGAGCTGCCTGGTGACAGAATCATTGAGTTCTGGAAGCGGGCAGGGTGGGAAACATGTCAAGTTATCATCAACGTGACCTCTGTAAGTTGTTTCCCCTTCAGCGGCTCCTGTTCTTCACTAATGAGATCACACCCACCATCTCATAGAATCACCGTGGGAATCAGAGAAGCTAATGTATGCAAATGTTGCTCCCCTGAGTCTAAGGCCACTGTCTACACGGCGGCCTAGGGGGTAGCAGTAACAGCAGTGCCATTACTTCTGCTGTCACTTGCATGGGGCAGACAGCACAGCTTTACCTCTCGTCAGCATTCCTGGGAGACTGGCGGCCATGGTTGCTGTTCCCAATGAAATTCCGGATTTCCGTGAAGTAGGCATCTTCTTTATCATCCAGAATGGCACCTGTACTTTCCAGTTCAGAATGAGGCGAGGATGTGGCTGTACCTGAGTAGAGCAGAAAACGCCTTGTGACAAAGGCTACCACTTAGCTGCCCACTTGCTTTGTATTCTACTTCTGAATTTGACCAGTATTATTTGCTGTAAACTTTTTTTAAGGTTTTATTTTATTTTTATTGGAAAGACAGATTTACAGAGAGGACAGTCAGGAAGTCATCCATCTGCTGGTTCACTCCCCAAGAGGCTCAAAACCAGCTACTGAGCATTGTCGGAATGGCATGGTGTGCCTAGAGACTTTTTTTTCCCTGAAATAACTGCAATTAGAACATTTTAGTAGTGTCTTACAGATGGACACAGAAAGTGATCTATTTTATATACCAGATCAGTGCATAAAAATTAATATTTTGACAGCATCATGATTTGATTTTTAGTTTTGGAAAGAATAAAGAGTATTTAGTTTTAAGCAGTCACCATCCAATCAGAAACAATGGAGAAAGTGAAGACCACCACGTTGTTCCTGCTCTTCAGATCTCTTTTCCTAACACTGATACCCAACCTCCCAGGGCACTTCCTTGAAACTGTGGCTGCACAGGTTGGTTCTGCACACATGGCAAATGGCAAGCATTAGTGCACGGCTTGTTATCTAAGTTTTGGATGCCAAAGACCAAGAAATCCTGCTAAGTACGTGTTGGCAGGCCAGACATGGCAAAGTGAAATGAGTCACATTTCATTTACTTTCATATCAGAATTTGTGGCAAAAACAAAACATCGCTATTGTTTGCTGTGGGCATGTCTACTTCCCCTGGTCTCAGAGAGACTCTCTGGAGGGTAGATCCTGTTTCTACGTTCATATTCCAGGCTGGCACTCTGGGGCATCCACTCAGGAGACTGCCACATGTACGATTCCCATGTCTGTCGTGCATTAGTGTCATGGTTCTCCGAGTCCTTGAGATTTCCCTTTGAGTGAATCCAGCAGGACAAAGAAACCTGTTGATCGCCATCTAAGGTCTAAACGTCTGTTTTCACAACGAGATCAATTTCAGCAGCAAATGAAATGAAAGAAGAAAGATCAAAATGATAAAACAGGAGGAACCAGTTGCCACTCCCGCAGGACACCGCGGATCACCCACCGGACATGTTCCCATTCTCGTGCTTTTTGAGGTGTCTGTCTAAGTTGGTTTGCTGGCCAAAGCATCTGTCGCACAGGTGACACTTGAAGGGCTTCTCCTTGTTGTGGATGTTGCGCACGTGGCGCTGCAAGTTAGAGGAGATGCTGAAGGAGCGGTCACAGTATTTGCATCTGAAAAACAGACACACAGCCGATTTACAAGCCGACCCAGAGTTACTACTCCGGATTGTGGGCTTAACATCAGCAACTGACACCCATTAACACCAGTCTGGGATTCTAGTTCCAAATGGCCTGTGTGGCTGGCTATTCAAATTTTCAGGACTTTGTGAAAATTCATGGGGAAAAACTGATGACTTGATGATTCCTAAATTATTTCAGCATCAGTATTCAAAGCACGAATCTTCAGCCTCAGGACACTGAGAGTAGCAGCTTTGTTTTAGGACAGTATAATTCGAGCTTTTCTAAACGAGCAGAAAAAAAAATCGCATTTTCTTCAAATAAAGGTAAAAAAAATCACTTTTTAGATTAAAATATGGTTTCCTCAGTCAATTTCTTTTTAGAGTCTGATCAACTAATTTCATTTAGCTTCTGTATATTTAATCTTAAGTAAAATCCTGTTCTCTTCTCCAAAATTACAACGAACACTCACTGATTTTGATAACCTGTGGAGATAAAGCCTGCAGCATTTCCTCTATTCATCTTCAACCTTTACAAAAGCAGGCAAGAGTATCATGAAATTCTTCACTTGTTACAAAAGCAAAGGTCTCCATTAGTGTCCTTTCTCTCTCCCACTTCAGTTTTTCTGGAAGAATCTGTAGCAATTTAAAATCAGGAGTTTGTCAGAAGAGCATTTACTGATTAGTATATTGCTTCTGACTTCCATATGATTAAAAGACAAATTACTGTAAAATTTTCCATCAGTTATAAAATAGAAATATAAAATGTAACCCATCAGCCTTCCAATTGTCAGAAGGAAAAATACTTTTTGTAATTGATGAGATTATCTTCCTCTGGAATTTTAAGATAAAGATTCCATCTTTTGCTGATTACTATTATTATGATGATGATGATTATTATTATGGTATAGCTTTGAAAGAAAAAAAGCCTGAATTTACACAAATGATATTTAAATGAAAATTTCTAACAGTGGCTAGAAAATTCCAGCTCATTCTTCCATGTATGAAGGGCCCTTCTGCTCACACTTATGAATATAACTCAGTGGCTTAAGGGCTCCACATCAAAAATCACCCATTCCACTCAAAGTCCTTGAGCTGCTTTGCAGTCCTTAAAAGATGCCAGAAGTCCTGTTGGCCCTCTTGGGAAAAATAAATCTGTTGGACTGGTTATATTGGCCTGGTATCAATAAATGAACTCAAAGACTGATGTTATTTTCCTGCTAAAAAAATTATTCTGGTGATGAGGATTCAAAGTGCTGCTTCCTTATATTAATACAGAGCAAGTAGGCAAGGCCACATGGACAGTGGCTGTGAAGGTATAATCTCCCCTAACAGCAGTGACAAGCGTAGGGAGTAGGGTCTTTTATGCAATGATCTGTTTACCACCAGCGCCCACTGCACTAAGGACAGTCCATTCTCCACAGCCACGTGGCCTCCAGCAGAGAGACCTGGGGACACTTAACTCCTGCCGACCACTTCAGATTTGTTGCACAGATTATGAAGAAGAGACATCCGTGTCTGACACGCTGCCAACCTTCTGCTTGTGAGCAAAGGGCATGCCCCAAATCTACTAGGCCCAAAATGTGAATCCAACTGACCCATCAGGACGTCCTCACAGCTTGTGTCTTGACCAGAAAGGCAAGTATTCTAAATAAACAATCAATGCACATAAATGCACGGGTGGTGAAGACACAGCTCAGTGCTAAAGGAGCACCCACGCCGTCAGCAGTCCTGGTGTGCACAGAGGCTGCCCGCTTCGCTGCAACAAAGAACCTGCAGTGAGAGCCTGGGGCCAGAGCTTTCATTCAGATTCTTTTTAGAAGCAGATTGAATAGAAAGCATTAATATCCAGGGGTCTGATTTTTTTTCCTTTGTAAAACAGAAAGATTGTACAAATAGTTACTTTAGCTCTCCATCTGTGCAAAAACTCCAGGTAATGCGTTCCTAATGACAGAATAAAATCATCGATTGCAAGTGCAAAAATGAGTACAGCAGTGCAGTAACATAGCTGTTTAATCAGTTCTCTTGACCAGAACAAAACAGCAATGTGAAAATCTTTCCTCTCATCTTAACAAAATTCCCAGGAAATACAACTTTCCCCAAAAGAGAAATCACTGCTCTGCATCATCACCACGGTCGGACACAGAGCTCACAAACACATTCTCCCGTGTGTAAAGTAAGACCATAACTTACATGCACAAAGCATGTATGCAACCAAAGAACCCAAGAAAGCCCCACGGCTGCCCAGGGCTCGGTCCCCATATCCCAATATTCCACTGATCTTCAAATGAGCATCCGCCTACCTTATTCTTGCATGTAAACAGATAAACAAAAAGCTTTGAAACCTGCTATCTCATTTCTGCGTTTATTCACAATGAAAAGATAGCATTTAGACAAAAATAATCCTACAAAGATGTAATGCGTAAGAATTATAGAACTTAAGATGAATAACTCTGAAATGTTGGTGAGGAGCTAATATTTTGCGTAAGGAATTGCACGTTACATATGCAGGTTATGTTTTAAAAGGAAAATAGTTCTTATTCTCACCTTTATATAAGTAGTAATATTAAAATTAGACATTTTCCATGTGCTTAATGGTTAACTGAATTTAACAGATGAAGTTAGGAAGTAGTTTAGAAAACAGCTGGTAGAACTTTCCCCTCCCCTTACAATCCATTCTAATCTGTCCAACCTGAATTCCACATGTTTTCCTCCACTTCAGAATCTTTTTTTCTTTTTTTTTTTTTTTTTTTGCTTAAACATGGTAGGACTTCGGGCCGCGGACCTAACCATCGTATCAAAGCAAAGTGTGAATGACTGCTCAATCTAGATTCACGGAGAAAGGGGCTGTGTCGTTAACGACGTTTGCTAATTAAAATAGTACTCATTATCAAGAGCGGAAAGCACTAAAGTAATTAAAACACTTGAAAAGTATCTAACGTTTCATAATGTATGGCCAGCACTGTAGACTAGCCTAGCACTGAGGAGGTGGGAAGTCTCAGCGAAATCACAACTCTTCCATTTGTCAGCTCAGCTTTTCATTCGTTTCTCCTTGATTCAAAACCGAGTGAGCACACACTCAGGCACGCCCAGAAGTAGCCTTCTCGCAAACAGTGCCCACGTGCCCACTGGACTGTCACAATAGTCACGACATTTAGCACGAATCGTTGTCCAACCTGTACGGCTGCTCTCCTGTGTGGGTTCGCAAGTGCCGGGTGAGGTTTGCAGACCTTGGAAAAATCTTGCCACAGTATCTGTTAGGAAAAGATGTTTACAAGAGAAAGTCAGCACGGGGCTCCCACAGCGTCACTGGAGCTGCTCGCTGCCAGACCTTTAGTCCTGATTTAATTAGTCTCGCATGGAACTCGCATGTCTTTGGTATTTAAAATTCGCAACAAAGCCATTCTACGGACAGAAATAATGACGAACACAGGCTGTGCTGTGAGATCTGGCTGAATGTGCTCAAGCCCAAACAAGCAGGGGATGAAAATAGACCTCAGTTGTGATGACCTCCATAGATTTCTGTTATTAACTCCTTATCTTTACATAGAGAAAAATGAAGCAGACAGAGGAATAAAAAAATGACAAGAGTTTGTGATTCTGGGTTGATGTAAACAGATTTCAATGTTCCAACTCATTTTACATGTCAGCCACAGTGACAACTCTATACACTGAACGGTATCAGATCAGACAAGATGCTAAGACTTCATCCATCAAGGTGTGTTCCCAGGAAAGCTTTTCTGTAAACAAAGTGACACATTTTCCAAAGAGAAGAAAAATTGATATGCCAGAGTCAGACACCACACATTTCTGAAGCTATAAGCACAATGTATTTGACTACACACACACATATACAGCAAAAAACGAGCTTTACTCTATGGCTGCTGACTAATAAGAAATTTATGAACTAGTTTCCTCACTTATGGACTGTCTTATTCTTCAATGCCATGACAATTAATAAATGTATGCTTGAGGACGGTAGTATTATACCTTTGGATGAAAATAATTAACTGCGAAGGAAAATTCATAAACATCAAAGTGAGACAAGCAGATAGGATTGGGACCATTTCCAACCTCATTTATCATAACCAAATGGCTTGTGTTAAAATTCTCATTTAATAATAACTTTTTAAAACCACTATTTTTATATCTCACCAAATAAAGAACACTTTGAAGTGCCTGAAATCTATCATGGCTGCTATTAATCATCCAATCAAGAATAATTTCCAAAACAAACAGCAGAACCTTCTGGAATCAGAGGGGAGGTTTGGGGAACGCGAGCCCCTTCTCACTGTGCCCTACCTGCAGGTGTAGCGCTCCTTCCCCTTGCGCAGGAGGCTCTCGGGCAGGGCACTGGGCGGCGCTCTGAAGTTGAACATGGATGGCATGGACTGCAGAAGCTCGCTGGCATCGGGCTTCAGGGCACTGAAGCTCTCGAGCTTTTCTGCCATGTTCTCAATGGCTGACATCTGAAAGGAACAGCACATGACGGGTTTGGCAGCCCTTCCTCTGTGACGGCCTCCGGCAAACCTAGAGCATCATGCTCAGGGAAGCTACCCGTCCACCGAGTGCCATGCATGCCAGGAGACGGTAACACCCCAGTACTAAACTAGCAGAGAATTCAGCGACTAGTAACACATGGCAGAGGCACGCTCGTAAAATGGCAGGCCACCCATTTCCACAAGACCTGGGTTGGATCATTTTCCAATCATGTAATAATATAATTGAGCAATGAAATGTAATGAAGATAAGAAAGTAAAATTATTTAAAAAATTTCATTTAGCAACAGTATTAGTAGTACATTATGGATATCAACTGAGAAGAAAACTAGAAATTTTAGGTAAAGATGCCAAACGTTTTGCTTCATTGCTGAAAACTCCGAGAGCCATGGGCGTCTGTTAAAGGACCCTACAGAATACAACATTACCAAGTGGTCCAAAGTGACAGGGTGAGTCAGTGTGTGGGATGGACAGTAATGAAACACAGACTGCCTTGGGGGACCCTGTGTTAATAGCAGGTATACTCAATATCTAAGTAGGGGTATTTACAGAAAATCTTGATGCAATATTGAGTTTCACACTTTCTGAGCACAGATTGAATCAAACTTGCAGTTACTGTAACCACATCCAACCTGACTCGGCGTGCCCGTGGGAGGACAGGCGGGAAATTCACAGGAACACATCTTCAGGAAAGTCTTCTTAAACCCTCGTGCTCCCTCTTTCTCACTCACACCAACTTCTCTCGCCCCTAACCTTCGTGTATCTGTCTACCTCCACACACGTGGATGGCGTCACAAGCAGAAGACACTGTTCAGGCATGTGCAGTAGGACTCTCATCTTCAACCCTCCCAAACTGTTACATTTGCTCAGTGCTCATATTTGATTTGGAAGTCTCCCTCTGCCAATTTTTTTTTAAGTAGAAAAAGCCAATGTTCAGATCATCTTGTTATATTAAGCCACTCGTTCTTTATTTGGCTCTCAGGGGCTATCAGAAAGTGTTTTCACATGATCCCTTCCACATATTTCACAGAGTGAAGGCCAAAAGCAGCCAAGAAGCAAGCTGGGAACACCTGCGTACCCAGGCCGCTGGGAAACCCAAAAGGCCAGCCGTTCTTGGTGATGAGACAGCAAGACACATTAGTGAGTTTGAGGTGAGCATAAAGTCAACATTTCCTACCCAAAGGGCACATGAACAAAACCTTTCTCTCTGGGCACCCGTGCTGGACAGAACACCAGGAACGTCTTAAACTAGGGCAAGATCCTAACAGAATGATCCTCTTCACATAAAGGAACATTGTGTGCTTGATGTCCCAAATGACTATTCATGTTGTAGTTAGCTTGCTTGTTTTCCTCTTTATCCTGGGCCGCCCTTTCATTTTTGCCTGCACTCTGAATGCGAGCTACAAATTGCAATGCACGGGGTACCACTGCCAATTTGCCAAATGTCTTTCATCAAACACACTACCAAAAAAAAAAAGATTTCAGAGGAAAGTCAAGATACATTTACTTGTCAGACGCCAAATGCGAACGCATTGGGAGGCAGTAAGGGCTATAAGCTCTGGGGTTTGAATCATAATCACTCAGCTGCTAAAACATTCTCCACAGATGCAAGTGGACAGCACATTTGTCACTATGAAGGATTCTGACACTTACTGATCACAGGGTAGAGACATGGAATGAGGACACTGCTCGGAGACACTGCAGGAAACTCGGTCTCCACAGATGATACATATTGTCCCTGCCAGCCGCAGCATTAGCATTCTCACATGACTTTGGGTCTTATTATTAAAGATCAATCAGAAAGATGTTATGATATTACTTTATTTGCATTTATTCCCCTTAATTGTTCCTTGCAGAAAATCATTTTTGTTACTCCAACAAATTTTCTGAGTGGAAAAGGACCTCTGGTCTTGGGGCTGACGAGCAGTAATGACCGAGGGTCAGGGTCACGATCACATGCAATTCTTGGGAAGAACAGCAAGTGCATGGGCGATGACTGTAAATATTTTATTTATGTACATTTAATATTTGGCTAAGTTTCATTATCTAGTGGCGTTAAACCCTCAATGTGTCTGCCTTGCCAACACACTTAGATTTCTGCTGCAATACATCTTGTAGAACAACTTTTCCTTTTATATGGAAAATGGCTTACTCATGGCTATTCTTATTTTCATTTTTCCTCTCTAACACACATAAACTACAAGCCTTCCAGTTATTTGAGAGCAGCTGGATGGTGAATGATGCACCTTGCTTTAGTAGCTGTTAATAGCTAGCCCCTTCTAAAGAAAGCTCACTCTGATTGCTTCATCTCAAACTGTTTCAATTTGGGTAAACCACTAAGAAACAAGAAAATATATTAGGGACTACAAGGCCAAGTCACTACATTCCTGTAAGAATAAGAAAAGGAATAAGGGGGAGCTAAGGACCGACCCTGTTACAAGGCTTCCTTGCTCCAGCTTCTGATGTCAAATGAAAACGGATGAAATTTGAGTGGGGAAAGGCAGAGAAGGAGGAAGGGAAGTGAGCCAAGAGTAGCAAGGAACACTGTTCTCACGCACACACACATGCACACACTCTCAGCTAGCAGCCACTGAGGCACCGTTAAGTCTTCCTTGAACGGCCTTGCTTTCATCTTTCTCCTATAGTACTTGACTTTAGTTGGAAAGAGGCTGGAATAAGTTTCTGCCTTCAGACAGCGGTGGCTTACACATCTGCCACTGGGAGGCCCTTAATCATCCTGCAGCTGGCATCAGCCCTACTCTGTGCCCGAGATGAAGGCATCGGGTTAAGACGGTGATGGGCCAAAGCCCCAACTCGCTCTGCGGTCTGACAGTGTTCTGACAAAAGCAACACTTTTTACAAAAGTTGTGAGTTTGGATCTAACTCTGTATTTTAAAAATAAGATAGATTGGAAAAAGAATCTAGCTGGATTTTAATGATGCAAAATTCAACGACAAGGGCATTGTGCACAAATATGAATAAGAAATGTGCTGAGAATAGGCAAAATGGAGTTAGAGCACATATTTTAGAAATGTATTGCTGTGTGACCCATTAATGTCATAGGCTAATCTCGGATCAGCGAAGGACAATTTTTTCGATGGAGCAGTGATTTCTATGTACATACAGAGCAGTCACCGATGGTATCTGCAGCCGGCTGTCTGCAAGAGGAAGCTGTTTCACCTCCTTCCAGTTCCCAGGAGGCTATTAACTTTATCCTGACGCAAACTAATATTTAGACACAATTCCCTGGCTCCTACCAAAAAATGTACTTATCTCTCTAGTCAAATCAAGTTCATATTTTTAAAAACATATCAGCAGGAAAGATACAATCATCAGCTCCCAAGCACTTAGCTCAGCACTTATCATCTGGCAGTCAATAATTGATGACATAAAACAGTTTCTCATTAAAACTATTAAAGTGACAACCTGATGATATGAAATGATATGTCTAAAGGCATCATGAATCATGTAATCTCATGTCTCACAAATTAGATTACCCATGGCCTTATCAGAAGATAACCATCTTTGCGCACATAACTTATGATGGGAAAGTTTGCAGATTTGATAGCTTTCCATATTTATTCATTTGATCATCTTGCAAAATCTCTACATCTGGCCATTTAAAGCAGCAGTAAATATTCATATTTTATGTTTATCTCATTTCATGCACCACATTCATCAGTCATGATTAGGAAATTACTTTGTGATTTTACCACAAAATATTATAAAAATATATTGGTCTCTATTTCCCACTAATAATTGCTTTATAATAGAAATAGAAACCACTTGGCTGAAAGGCCTGTGGCTCGGTTGAATGGCACTAAGGCCACCGTGGCAGCGTGAGGAAGGACCAGCTGCAAGTCCATGGAAGAGAGGGCCAGGTTTGCCAGGGAAGCAGCGGATGCTTAGAGCAGCTAACACAGAGCTCCTGCTGCAGAGTCACCGTGCTCCCTCGAGCAGGACACTGAAGCCAGCGAAGGCAGAGGAAGGACGCTGGAGACACAGGCCAGCACATTGGAACCAACACCTGGTGGAGCCGCGCTGGCGTGGAGGCCCAGCTCAGTCCTGACTCGCTGCTCATGCGCGAGACCCAGTCCCAGTTCCCACTTTGGGGTTTCAGCCTTGCTGGGCTCCAGCTGCTTCAGGCAGCAGGGGAAGGAATCAGGGGATGGAAGAGACGGAACGCTCCCTGCCTATCAATATCTACTTCTCTTCCCCTTCAAGTTAATTAATATTTTAAAAAAGAACCACTGCATTTATTCATTCATTATGAAAACTTGCATTAACCATTCTCCTTCCCTTTCTATAAATAAACACGTTCACGTTTCTTAAATAAGCAAACTTAATCCTTCAAAGTCTGTCAGAATGATAAAAGTCACAGTTGTTCATGTATTCCACACAAGAGATACAGCTAAAGAAAAGTAAACATCAGCTAAATAGGAAGTGCTAGAATGTCCCAGCTCAAATTCACTTACATACAACTGTACAGGAGGTTTTAAATGTTGAACTACATTCCAAGATTCTTCCCTTGTCTTAGAAATCCGCATAATTTTGAGTGAATGATCTGTAAAAGCTGGTGGTTACAGGGCATTCTGGAATATGTTATCTCCATTACCCAACTCTTTTTTGGAGGTAAAAACTGAACAAACAGTATTCTTTGCATCCTAAATAATCTTTCCAATTATAAGAAACAATCGCTTCTCGGCCTTTTGACTAAGATCATGGGCAGTATCTGTTCTTATCACTTTAATATCTGATACGTCCTCTATCTGATTATAAAAAGCAAAAGGAAACACTTAACGCTGCCTGCTATCAGTAACAGGTTAACCGGATAGGGAGATGCTGAGTTGGGAAGCTAAGAGACCAGCCACTAGTTTGGTACTGGTTTCCAAGCGTTCAGGCTTACTTCTCCGGAAACCCGGAAGTAATCTCCACAGTGGGACACAGGATGAGAAGTCCAGGCACTGCTGTGACATGATCCTCTAGCAGGCTTTGCCCCAACCCTCAACACCTGACGAAGCCTTCCCCACTCGGTGCCCATTTCAAGTTCTTTTAAGAACATGCTCACGAGTGCCCAGAGAATTTTCTATGGAGGTACAATTATGTAGGACAGGTCAGATTTACCAAATAAAATTATTGCCTACGTGATAGCTTCCCAAATGCCTCATGCCTGCTGACAGGGTTACAGCTGGACAAGGCAGGGAAATGACTGGCTGAACCCAGAGCGCCTTAGCTGTGCAGGCACTCGGAGTGCAAGGCAGGCTTCTTTTAATGCTACTTTTGGCAGACACAGAAGCAGGAAACTTACCCAAGTTCTCCGATCAGGCAGTTGGAACTGGAGCAAAATTGAAACAAAAACAAAAACTGACTTCCGTGCAGGTATCCTTATGGCAACCTAACCTTGGAGAAACTTAGCATTTCTACTAATTTGCTGATTTTTTGGCTTATCCTGTAATTCTGACTAGAAAAAAAGGTTTGGAAATGACCATTAAATAGTTTTAACACGCTGCTAAGTTTCTTCTACGTGCCTACATTCAAGCTCAGAATCAAGGTTACAAGTCAGATTATACTTTCTTCCAAGAAAAATACTCTGTCGTTTCAAATCTCACAGCAAAGCAGCCCCTTCCGGCTCATCAATTACTCACTACAAAAAATGCCCCCCTAAATTTTAATGTAAAACTAAACATTACGCAATTTTTTCCTAGTAAATCCAATATTTTTATAATTAACAATAATAAAATGAAATCTTTACCAAAAAGTGGGTGATTGAGTCAGAGAACAAAATCGGATGGGGCTCAGAGCATCAATAAATGATCGCTTAAAACATTCATCAGAAGAAACAGAAGGCCCAGGGATCTAGGTCAATTCATGTCAAACCCCACTGGGCTGGCAGCTGCTCCAGGAACAGAGTTTCTGGCCCTGCCGACTCTGTCTGGTGGCAAGGATCAGCATGGAAGAATGCAAGTTCTTGCACTGTGAAGGCTCAACCAAGAGACTCGAACTACAGGAAGCACAAGTAAGAGACAAAAATGCAAAAGGGTAAAACGGCAAAATGTATTTTTCACACCAATGTGTAAATGTCTTGAGAAAAGATTAAATTATTCCCAATTCCTTGCAATGTTGTAACAGGATAACCAAGATAATTTAAAAGGGATAAATTTAAATGAATGAATCAAAGGCAAAAATCCAGGACAAAGGGAACTTTGTTACAGATGAACAGTTGGAAATAAAACTCACATGTAAACTACCGATGATGATATTTAAATCCAGAAAAATCCAACCAAAAGCTAATAACCAGTTCTACAACAATGGCCGTTCACCTGAGCTACCAGCATGAACGCCAAGGACCCACAATAGAAACCAGCAAGACTGACATGCTGAAGATCATATAACACCTTCCCTCCATCGTATCAGGAGCCATCACTTACTTGTTTGCCCAAATTACCGTTTATCGTAAAAAAGAAATTTTAACTATGTCTCCAACGACAGCTTCTACAATGCTTATTTCTCTCAAGTTATAATAAATCAGACGAGATCGGGCGCGTTCAGGGTGGTATGGCCGTAGACTAGTTATAACAAATCAAAAATTATATAACAGATAATGTAAAATGTATTATACAAAATGTAACTATAAAATACAAAATACATAACGAGTGTGTTTTTCTTATTTATAAAGTAAAGTGGAAGGCTGAGAAGTGATAGTCACTTAAAGGAATACAGCAAAGGATAAAGACCGGTCTCCCTTTTTCTTTGTAACTCTGATTTTCAAATAAATAAATCTTTTTAAAAAGCCTGAACTAGGGGCTGCTGCAACTGCCTCAACTAGGTAATCCTCTGCCTGTAAGTGCTGGCATCTCAGAGGTGCCCCATCATGTCCCAGCTGCTCAAAATCCCAGCAGCTCCCTACTTGTGGCCTGGAAAGCAAGGGAGGATGGCCCGAAGCCTTGGGACCTGCACCTGGCTGGGAGACCTGCAAGAGGTCCTCACTCCTGGAAATAATCTGATTAGTATAGTTAAATACGTGTAAAGATGATATCAGCACAAATATTTCTTTAGAACAGGAAAGAAAGTTATCAGGAGGGATGCACAGGGGAGAAAAAAGAGGGACAACAGTGACAAAGTGACTAACGTATGGCGAGTCAGATAGGCTAGGTGCTGTTGTCCCCAGCACAGTGGGCCCCAGCTCACGGCGACAGTACTGGAAGAAAGAAGTTAGGTTTTAAACATACACAAAAGGAAATGGAAACGGTGATCATGTGATTTTATCAGTTCATGCTGCCTAATGTGTTGAAATATCATATGCACACCATAAAAATATACAAGTATTACACGTTAATCAAAAACTTAAAAAAATAAGAGATATACTTTATATAACACCATGTGACACAAAATACACACTATATTGAAGTTGATTAGCCCAGGAAACCTTGCAAATGTTACTTAGAACAGCCTGACTATAAAATAAAGACCTTGATAACCATTTGTTGCTTTTGAACTTCCTTGTTTTTGGTAATTCTGTAATGGTGTCATTCCCCAGACTCGTTACATAAGGCTAACACCACTGAAACGTTTCTAAGCTTTTGCAGATGGAAGTATGTATTTTCTCAGTCCGATGTGAAATGAGAATTTTTGAGCAGTTTTTTCCAGCCAACACAGGGGACTGCATCTCAGTTCTCAAACTCTTCTGTTATGACTTTGGAAATGTACTACAAAGAGTGGACAAGAGAACAGAGAGGCAAAATTACATTTGAAATCAAACCCCGAATGAAGTAACTGTCCCGCGGCTTCCGCAGGATAGCCTGTAGACATTGCCACCAGTTCTTCTGGAGGGGCCGACTTTCAGCACTGAGCATATCAGAACTAATCACTGTTTTGGTATGAATTTTGCTAGCTACATCAGAGCTTGTAACTTTTAACATGAAGTAACACATAAATGAAGAAACCTGACTCAAAAAGGTATTTCTCTGCTCTTTTAATATAATTCTATAGCTGGTGATCACTACGGAAGCCAGTTTTTCTTTTTCAGTAACTACATGTGTAGGGACACAGGGATGAACCAGTTAGATAACACAGCTGTGAACTTGTGTTTTCCTTGCAATAAGAGACTACATATTTTGATAAATAGACACAGATCTGTTCAGCAAATAACTCTGTGTATTGTGAATTCTTGTGCAATTACAGAACTTTGCAGGAATGCCCAGTGGTCTCTGGACAAATTCCTTCACCCTCTATGGTAACAACTTGTCAGGTAGACTCATTTCCTGTTTTTATCGAAGCACTAAAAGAATAAGAATGACCTTTATGAGTCTGAGACGAGTCACAGTGTGATCCCTATCTTAGAGCAAGCTTTCAACACAAAAGACAGTTGCAATGTTTATTTTCTTAACTAAGTTCTGCTCACTCCTAAAGACACTTGGGCTCAAGTAGTTAACAGCAGGCAATAATTGAACAGCCAAATCAGGTTATTCTTATGCGTATATGACTTGCTTTTTCTTTACAGAACTTGGGTTTTAATTCTGCTAGAATTTCCTGTGTTCTTCCACAACAGCGTCATAGGAAATCCCAGTGTTCTCAAGGTTTCTTTCATTGCGTTGCACCTGCTTTTCAGGATCAACAAGTTAGTTTACAAGCTTGGACTCTCGACTTCAAAGTACTTACTTGCGGGTGAAACAAGAACCCCGGCGCAGGTCTCAAGTATTTCTCTTTTAAAGCTTCCAGAGGGTCGGTGAGCTTTCTTTTCTCTACTCTGAAAGGTGAAAGTTAGATTGTGGAGATGAATTAGTCTTACGTATCAGTCACTACATAATTACTGGCATTTAAAGCAGCTAACAATAAAGCAAATGGTAGGCTTGTGGGAAGCGTACTGATAAAAATAGCACGATGTCTGTTCAGTGCGTGAAGGATTCTCAGGGCGCTTCCAAGTGCTCAGAAAGAAAAGGTCCTGTTGATGATGGAAGAGTTCCACCGAACCACTGGTGATGACAATGAGGAAATGAGAGAGCAGGAATCGGGCAAGGAGAGCTGCTGGTCACCAGCTCTGTGCCTTTCCACTGTCAGTGTGGACTCAGCTAAAAAATGAAAAGCTGTTTTCCACCGAGAACTTGGTCCCTCTCCCCAAACAGTTCTCCTGTATTTGCCCTTAATAGTCAGGGTGTTTCCAGGAATCCTACATGCCCTACTAGAGCCTCTTTGGAAGCTATACACAGGCACATATACACACGGTTTAGATTCCACCTGCTGGGAAGCCGAGCAGCTACGAGGAAGGGGAAAAAGAAAATGACATGTTTGAAGACTTTCCTGTAGGGACGTGGGAGCATAAAATTTCCCTATCTGTCCTTTTTTGTTCTATAAACATTGTCATCCTACTTTGTAATAAGCATATAAGGGAAATGATACCATTAGTTACATGAAAGTATTTCTTCTATGAGCACTTTTTATTTTCTTCTAAAAATGATTGAATTAGTACACTTTAAAAATGTAATTCGAATGAGTAAAAATGATTACCATATCATAAAATTGTGTCGTATTTTGCACATCCTATTTCACTTGTTGAGCTAGGTGCTATTGTACCCATTTTATGGGTGGAAGGAAGAAACATCTAGGGCAGGGCTGAGATTTCAGCTGCAGCCTGATACTAACATTGGACTTTAGTTCCTTCATGAGTTCAGTAAACTGACAGGCTTCGGGCCTTCATCAAAGCCGGCACATCAGAGAGGAACTGAAACAAGAGCAGGCTGGGAGGTGACAGAGGAGCTCAAAGGACTGTTGCTTCCTTTGAGAGGGCGTAAGAAAGCTGGTGAAATGAGCTACACAAATGCCTGGGCCCTCCACCACTTGGTTACCAACAGGCCCTTTCTGGAAGCGTGTAGCGCAGAGTCTACATGCACAGTCCAGAGCAGGGCTGCTGTGGAGACGGAGCTGTGTCCGTGGGTGACAGCGCCCAGCACGGGGAGGACGGCCCTGAGGGACTTGCCGATGGTCCCCCGCAGCCCTGGTGCAGCAGGCGTGACCCTGGCCGTGCTGGTCTGTGTGCCGCAGAGAGCGTAAGTGCAAGACTACTAAGTGAAAAGGGCTGCAGTTCCAGTGCCATTCAGGAACCAGGAGCTCCAGCCATGACACAACTGAGACAAGGACACACGATCTTTTCTCCATAGAAGAACTGGGAAAAAAATATGAAAATACTGATTTTCAGTAAGCTCAATAAAAAGTATCTACATATTCAATGAATCACTTTTTTTCAAGATTTGAATGCAACAGCAACTATAAAATGCTTATAATATGTAAAATGAGTGAAAGGCCACAATTATTATTGGTTATACCATTTAAAGAAGACTGAATTCTAAAAATTGAATCACAGATACACGCTTGACCTCTGACACCATTAAGCCTGCCAAGACCATCTCGAAGTGCCAGGTCCAGGTCCCTGTCGGGCTTCCAGCCCAGCTTCATTTGAATGCCACGCCCAGGAGGCAGCACTCAAGTAGTGGGGAGACCTGGACAGAGTAGTTGGAGCTGTCACTTGGTTACTAGAGGTACTGGAGGTATGTGGGGAATAAGCCAGCAGATACAAGCTGTGTATGTGTGAGAGAAAGAGAGAGAGAGAGAGAGAGGGAGAGAGAGAGAGAGAGAGGGAGAGGGAGGGAGAGAGAGGGAAAGAGAGGGAGAGAGAGAGAGAAAATTTAAAGAAATAAGCTAAATCACAGAGAGGTCAAGTGACTGTTCCAGAATATTGCCCTAGAGGTCTTATATACACAATTTCACCTAAAGAAGTTTTGGATACATAGAGGAATCTGGAGAATGAAGACATTCCATGCAGATATTTTTAGCAGGACTACTCACATGATATGCAAACTTTGTCATAAATATTACATTTACGTGGAGCTCTTAAGGGATGTGTTCAGTGAAAGAACAAGGCCAGGCACCAGCAGAGCAGGTGCTGGTGGGCTAACAGAGGAGACTCTTGCATCTGAAGGTGGGACACATGTTTGCAGGAAACTTTCCAGTCTCACTCTTCAGCCACTTGACAATTTACTTTAACTATGACTTTTCCATATTTTCCACTCCCCAAAACAGTGTTTAAAAATAAGTTTATGGTCATGGGAAATAAATTCTGTTGAGTTCTTCCAAACTCAGAGATATCCAAAGGAGCTGAATTTACGAAGAAAATAAAAAAAACAGGAGTCACCAGATCCAGCAGTGTCACCCTCTGCCTTGTAACAACAACAACAACAACAACCACCTTTTCTCGAGGGATGGAACTTTGTAAAAGCTCCCTTTGGTGCCTCTGTCCACATCTCAGCATCTCCTGTGGCCCTTACCTGTAAATAGGATCCATAAAGAAAGGAGTGGGCCTCGCGTGCTGCAAGGAGCCATCTGAAGCTGATCTTGGTTCTACATTGCTTCCTCTCTTTTCCCCAAACACATGGTTTTTCCGAGGCTCAGCCACCTTTGTGCCACTGGCTCTACTCCTACTGCCCATGCTTAGGTCCAGGGGCTGGTCTTGGCCTGTGGCGGCCGCTGCAGAAGGCTTGGAGGGGACTGGCGTCTGGGGCTTGTCATCCTTTCGTTTAGTGGTGAGATCAAAAGGGGACTCTGAGCCTCCTTTCTGTAGTTTCTTTACTTCATTTGGTGATTGGGGTTCCACTTTCAAAGGTAACGATCTCAAGTCTCTATCAGGAAATGGGTACATTGATTGAGAGAATGCTGGAAAAAACGGGAGGGGAAACATGGAAGGGTAAGGTAAAGCTCCGACTTTTTTGTCTTGCAGCCCCACCAGTCCTGTTGAACCAAAGTATTTTTCAGCAATAGAAGCAATAGCCTTTATAGAATCATTCACAGCTCCTGACACCGCAGTTTGCTCCTCTAAAGATGGTGAGAAAATGGAATGATTGCTGTATTCTTTCTTATTATTTATTGAAGCCAGATTCTGAAGAGGGCTTACTTTGTCTTTGAACATTTTACCATTTTCTTTAAATTTCTCTTTATCACTTTCAATGTCACTGTCCAGCTCAGAGCCCGAGGTGGTTTCCAGGTCACTGCCACTTGGCGTGCTGACATCGTCAAGGTCACTACTCTCTGACTGGTCACTGAGTTTCTCAAGGGGTCTCTCTTCAGAGGACCTCTCGGCCTGGAGCTCCACTGGCTGACTGTCCCCTCCCGGCGGGTGCTTAGATAGTGCCTTCAAAATATCCTGTGTGGCTGGCAGTATCTGAGGATGGGTCAGGAGGGGACTTGGGCTTGTGTTTGTCTGTTCAGTACTTGACAGTCCTTTAACAGGAGAACTAGCAGGTATCAAAGGAGGCCTGTGGTACAAGCCGGAAGGAAACAGACCAGGGAAGCTAAAGGAGAATCCGGGAGCTGTTGGAAAGGTAAGACCAGCAGGATGCCTATTGGCGCCAAAATAGTCAGCAAGGCCCGGGTTGGCATGACTCATATTAACCATGGCCGTTTTATCCATAGCTGGGGTTCCAGGAAGTGAAATGCTTTGGCCAAAAAATCCACCTGCCGCAAAATGGTTCTTGCCCTCACAAAACCTCCTGTGTTTATTTAAGGAAGACGTAGTGCTGAACATTTGTCCACAGTCCTTGCACTTGATTTGGGTTCTGCAATCAGCATGCATGCGCTTATGACGACAAAGGTTGGAAAACTGAGTATAGGATTTATGGCAGACCTCACCTGTGTGCAAACAACAAAAGAGAATCTCAGGCTTGGTGGCAATCGCGTCTGGACTCAGCAAGTATCACAATTGCTTTACTCGAAATTTCAATTCAGAAGTTAGGAAGAGAGGTTAGCGGCAGCAGGCTGGATGCTGCACACACAGGAACCCCAGCTGGGTTCCGAGGCAAGGCATCCGCCTGACGGGTGTCGTGAAGCAGTGCAAATAACGCATATACATACACGCACATATATACATATATGTATATATATGCACACATATACATACACATGTTTTAGCATCCCCCCTGCATGTTTTGCGCAAATCTGTACTTTAAATCTTTACAGAAAAGTTAAAATTCCAGCATGCTCTGACTTCCCACCCCACTACGACACTAGTAGAATCTTAAAAAATGACAAGTCTCAGGAGATTTGAGGTATCAAGCACATTAGGAGCCCCTTTCAGGCTGTCAACAAGTTAAAGAATTCTCCCCTGTGGGAATCGACCAAACACAACGGTCCTTCCCTCACCCAGAAACTTCACCTTGCCCGCCGCTCCCCTTGGGGAGAACATCTCTGCTGTTATTGAGTCGGGATTATATCACACACTCATCATTCGCACTTCAAAGGCACACAACAATGCACATTGTGCATTCTGAGACTTTTTTTAACAATCATTTTCATGATGCGAGAAGGACTGACATAATTTACAATGGCTCTATTTTAGGCCGGCAAAGGAAACTAAATTGAATGTAGCCCATCCTGCATTGCTGGTTCCCATGAACTGTGATCACGTCCTCTCACTTCCCCTCACACCAGTGGCTACGCTAATCTTCCTGCATTTATGAAACCCCCCGCCCTGGGAAACATGTCCCCTGTTGTCCTGTCTGCCCCTCTTATCGCAGGGCTTGACTCCTCTGTGTCCCGGCCAGCTGTGCTAACGGGGGCAGAGCACTGGGAGCGCCCAGACCCAGCAAGGATGCAGCAATGGGTGTGGCTGTGAAAGAGCCCCCTGCACCAGGAATTTACCAATAAAACACAATGTCTTGCTCTTTATAAAGCTCAACATATTTTAAGATGAAACTTCGTAACCCTTAAGGAATCCCTCCATGGGAAATCATCCCACTCGTTTTGTAGTTCAGCAGGCTTATCGTATCTGCTTCCGAGCATCACAGTTTATTTTGTTTGACTTTGCTGCAACTGAGTTGCTATACATGTGAACTTCAGTGTTTTCAGTGAATTCAGTGTGAATTCAGTGTTTCTGTACACGTTCAACACAGGCAGAAACATCATATGCTTTGTTGGTCATTGTTGAAACAAATTTGTTTTGAGAAACTGAGTGGAAGACAAAATAGCCCGTGTGTGGTTGCCCATGAGGACAGGCTCGACATGCAGGACGCTTAAACCCCAAGTCGAAGCAACAATGGACAAACAGCACACCGAGGGGATCTTACAGACTTTCACCAAGACAACATCGCCCAGGACGCGCATCCAAACAGGAAGTACCAGCTGATTTCATATCATTTCTTTTATTGCTAAAGGTTAAACTGTGTATTTATTTACGTTAACGTGCTTGCTGATACAAAAGGAATACTTCGAAGGACGATTCTTAACACATCAGATTTCAACATGCGTTTTTAAGGAAAGAGATGATGTTATTTCTTCTTAAATCATTCTATTAGAATATATCAGTTTATACATATATGATAATCAGGCATACTACTTAAATTCTTTGATATGCTAGTTGAAATCACACGATGCAGAATAGAAACCATAGTTATTCACTGGACACACTGTACTAATTCTTCTACAAATTATCGCCCCCAAAGTGCATCATGTTCTTATTATAAAAGTGCACCGATTGAGAGCAGCATCTCTTCCGGGGTCCCTAGAACCCCCAGATCCAGGGCATCTCTTCATGGCTTTCAGAAGGGCTGCGTGTGGGCCAGGCACTGCCGCGCTCGCCTCTCTTGGGGTCAACTGGCTTTAAGAAAACCAAGAGCCCCTCTGCAGTGCAGAACCAGCTGCCGAATTTGACTTTCCTCGTGCGTCCTCTGTTACACGGATGAGTGGCTTCTGTGTCTCGTCTCCAGAACCCAGAATCTGGGTGTTTCCTTGGGCAGGGCACTTGAAGGCCTGCCCGGTCCACCACAAACCACCTGGCCTCAAGGTAAACTGGCTCAACTGCTCCTCAGATCTATAGTCTATCGCAATGTTCTCTGTAATAAGGAATTAGCCAGCAGTTAATGTTGCATTTTTCTGCTTATTAAATAAATTAAGAGGTATTTTGAATATATTCAGTCTATTAGACCATGTGGTTTCTATTTGCAGGGCTGAAGGTTTGTGCAAAGGCAGTGAGTAATTACCTTAGCACTGGTGACTCTGGGCTCGGGCTGGGGGCACACTGTAATAAGAGACAGTTGCCATAAACACACCAGTGGGGGCAGAGCGTGGTGTGTGGCCTTCTGGTGAGAAACAGATACCAGCTCTCGGTGCCCCTCCTCCACTGCAGGCTCCACACCAACTCCTGAGCCTTAAACCCTTTTGTTCTGAAATTACACGGCTATTATTCATAATTCCTCCACGGGTCTCTGTCAGGTTTGATAGTTGAAGAATGCCATCTGCTATTTCAATGTACCAATAATTACTGAAAATACATTCATGGGAAATATGTGATGCGATCTGATTGGAAAGGGACCCCTATGGCGCTGTGAGGCGAAACAACGGACTTTAACACAATTAACATTCCAGACCCCAGAAGTTTAGATGACAGGGTCTATGTTTTCTGACATGTATTTTAAACAAAACAGAAAGCATTAAATGGGCAGCCAGCATTCCTTGTGATCAATTCCACTGCTCTTCTCACCAAAACATAATAAAACTTACTAAAATTCATTTCTGAGAAATCGGAACAGACCGCACTCTGCCCAGGACGCTCTGAGGCGCATGTGCTCAGGGCATCGCCAGGTGGGTCGGGAATCCCTTTTTCAGACAAGAACTCTGCAGTTCCTATTGTATTCTCTGCTCCCTGGGGCTTCCAAGCCAGCTTTCCCAAGGGAGGTCAGAGCACCTTCTATCATCCAGCGTCCAGAGAATGCGAGCGAGAGTCAGCAGGACTCTAGGCTGAAGAAAGGAAGAGCCCCCTCTGCTGCTTGGAAGCACACAGGAAAGCCATGCCAGGGCCCAAAGCAGAGACCTCGGCTCGGCATGGCCTGTTGGCCGCCAGGTCCTGCAGTAGTGTCTCATTTACCTCTCCGCCAAACCATCAGGGATTGTCAGGAAAAACAGAACTGTCTCAAGGGGCTCCCAAGTCATAGTTTTGGCCAAGGGCCGAACAGGCTTCGCCCAGTATGTCGAGATGCAAAATCAGTCTGGAGGGTTGCAGCACAACAAGTGAGTCTCTGTATTTTATATGTCAGAAGCAGCCCCGTGCTGCCCAGGTGCACGGGGAGCAGCCGGTGTTGAAGGCAGCACTCGGGCAGCACACAGAGCCCGGTTTGGATGGGAGGAGGCAAAGCAAATGAAGACCGAGTTGGACTTTATATTTGAAGCATGTGACTAAAACGCTCTGTTCTAAGCAGGTGGTCAGGCGGCATGCCGCCGAAAGCACACTGCCCGTGAGCGTGTTAGTGAGTGAAGGGGCAGCGTGCCCACCATCAAAGGGAAGACGTTCCGCTTTCCAAGTAACACAACTGCGGAGCTGCAGCCTGTGCCCAGAGACAACGGGCACGTGAAAGAACATTTTGTGTGCCCTCTCTCCACACACGCACACACACACACCAGGTCAGAAGCACACTGCCCAGGTGGGGTTCTTCCAGCTCTTTCTGCTCCGGAACTGTTTTTAATCACGTCATCGTGCTTATCACCTCATCTTGCTATTTGCTGGTTACAGTGAGACAAACTTGGCTGCCTCGATGAAAGGCCACAACCTGGGGAGGCTTCCCTTTCATCACTCATACCCTCCCTATTATTGATTTCATCTGAAGCAAAACAACCTGGCGATCATAAGCAAAAGTGCCATGAATTTGAGTATCAAAGATCTTCTTTTTGTTTCATCATAAAAAATGGCCCTACCGAACGGGCCCTAAATAGCTCAGACCACGACTGCCCTACTGGCCACGTGTGGCTGCTCTGCTGACCCCAGCAGACAGGGAAGAGACGCAGGGAGGAGGCGGAGTGTAAGGACTTACAGATGAACGGCTTCACACTGCTGTGGATGTGCTTGTGCTGTTTGAGGCCTGACGACGTGGCAAAGGTTTTGCCACACTCCGGGCACGCGTGGGCCCGGGCACCGACATGCTGAGAGCGAATGTGCCGCTGCAGGTTGCTAGGGTCCGTGAAAACCTGCTAGGAAATGAGTACTGATTAATCAGGAAACTTCACTCCAGACCCAGGAAGGAGGCCAGAGGCGATGCAGAAGGAATCCTGTCCATTTGCTTGTTTCCCCAAAAAATCAAGCGGGAGTCCTCTCTCCAAAGGGTGCTCCTCTCTAGGTTAGAACTGTCCGTGACTTGCTTCTACGGCCTTAGCATGGCGTTTCCACTAGCTTTGGGTGAACAAGACCATGAATGGCGTATTGGGCCATGTTCAAGGCCTCTTTGATTCCACTTAAGAATCACCACAGAGGAATCATAAAACTCAGATGTGATATGATTAAACTGGGATGATTTTTCACCTTTTAAAAAAAGGCATATTAGAAAAATTAATGGGGGCCAGCGTGACGGCACAGTTGGCTAATTCTCCACCTTCAGGTGTTGGCATTCTATATGGGCACCAGTTCTTTTCCTGGCTGCTCCACTTTCCATCTGTCTCTGTGTTTATAGCCTGGGAAAGCAACAGAGAATGACCCAAAGCCTTGGGACCCAGTATCTGAGTGGGACCTAGAAGAAGCTCCTGGCTCCTCTCTTCACACTGGCTCAGCTCCAGCCACTGCAGCTGTTTAACCGTGAATCAGTCAATGGAAGATCTTTCTCTCTGTCTCTCCTTCTCTCTGTAAATCCACTTTTCCAATAAAAATCTATGCTTTTTTTAAAAAAGGTGATGGAGATTTTGACTAAAATATTCCAAAGGTATCTGAAGAGTTTCCCTAATTATGAGAAAGTAGTCAGAATGCTAAAATCATTCCTTTGGACATTGTGCTTAAGAGAATGGCAGAGCGGGGCACAGAAGAGAAGGGGGAGGGGAGAGGAGGGGAGGAGAGGAGAGGAGAGGAGAGGGGAGGAGGGGAGGGGAGAGGAGAGGAGAGGAGAGGAGAGGAGAGGGGAGGGGAGAGGAGGGAGGGGAGAGGAGAGGAGGGGAGGGGAGGGGAGAGGAGGGGAGGGGGGGGAAGGGGAAGGGAGAGGAGGGGAGAGGAGGGGAAGGGAGGGGAGAAGAGGGGAGGGGAAGAGGGGAGAGGAGAGGGAAGGAGAGGAGAGGAGAGGAGGGGAGGGGGAAGAAGGGAGGGGAGAAGAGGAGGGGAGGGGAGCGGAGGGAAGGGGAGGAGAGGAAAGACGAGAGCCAACCAACATATCCAAGAGTGAAATATCCTGATAGCTGATGTCCAACATTACGATTTCCACAGGCCTAGGAAAAGTCATTCAGATGCTACCAAAAAGTTTTTTTGACAATAGATGGTGACTTTAATCGTAAGAGCACATCTTGGAATTTTTTAATCAAGGATGTGAATTACCGTTGCCATAGTTCATGTTTCTGGTCCAAGGGGAGTTCGTTTCACTCTTAATTTATTCAGCACTGGCCACTAAGACTGAGGCGCTAAACTTTTTAATTAGAGCCATGTCACAATTTATGGTTAGGACTTAGGTGGAAAAATCTGCAAATGTTGGAGTCTCCCATTCTTTCTCAATAGGCATTCAAAAATTTTATGTGGCTTTCTCACATGCTGCTACTAAAAGAAATCAGTAATGTGCATTGGATAAAAGTTTCATTCCCCATAAGGCTATAAAACAACCCCACACTGGCAAGTCAGTAGCGGAACCAGGAATTTACCAAGGCTGTCTGACACCTAGTTCTGGAACTCACCATTAAGCCTAACTTCCTCCCTTACAAAAATAAAAGGATACCCACTAAGTGTTTTTATACACTCGACTAATGCCTTTTAGCATACAACACTCAGCCCACTTTTCTCAAGATATTTATAGTTTCCCCTCTCAAGGCTTGTTTTTACATATCGTAACAAGTGATGGATTAAGAGCGAGCAAGATGACAGAGCGAGGCCAAGCAGCCTGCAAATTCACGGTACCTTGGCACAGTTTTCACATTCATAGTGCTTCCCACTGTCATGGGACATCTGGTGGCGAATCAGATTGGACTTCCAGTTGAACGCCTTGGGGCACTGGTCACACTTGTATTCCCTCTCTTCCGAATGGGACAGCATGTGTTTCTCCAGGCTGTTAAGAAACAACTGGCTTTAATGAGGCACTGTAACAAAGGACAGCTTCATTGACAAGCATCATTGTATGACTATGTCAGCAATTGAAGAAACAAGTTAGTGTGAGAAGGTGAGAGGCAGCAGCTCGTTACAGACACAAGTCCAGCTTTTGTTTCCTCAACTGTGTCTCTCACCGATGTGGAGAGGCAGCCCTGTTGCTGGCAAATCCATGTGGAACAGCGAGCAGCATTATCTCCCAATTTAGGAACACCATGAACTACATGCAGTTTGTCCAGTTTTAGATTCACTACATCCTTCTAAAAGCAGCACATCTTGATAACACCCACTTAACTCAAATGCCCAAACAGGAAATATTAAGCAAATGCTTGAGAATATGCAAGTAGGTATTCTGTTTAACGTGCAGAACCTCTAGGGTCTAGAGTTTGATTCCGTATTTGCCACTCCTGGGAAAGGGGCTATGAGCTAACCATTCACCAAGGAATTTCCCAATTTACCTCTGGGCTGGATGGGTGGATGGACAGACACAGGCACAGTGTGTGTGTGTGTGTGGAAACACATATCTAGCTAGGTGGGTAGATAGACAGAATGCACAAAGACAGTGTAGGATATTTTAAGTATATGCATTATGAAAGCACCAGAAATGAGGCTAAGAACTTTCTCAAAAAGATAGTCCCAATGCTTAGAACATGTTTTCCTTATCAAGTTTTCCCTCTTTTCTCAAATCCAAATGACTATAATGAAAATTTATAACATAGTGAATGCTTTGTCAAGTGATATCAGCAACAATTATGCTGACTGAATAGACATATGTAAAATACAGCAGGACACTACGCTTGCCAGTACATAAGGATGTTTTTCCAACTAAGGTAACCAATATTCCTTCTTAGAGAAATAGCCTATTTAAAATCTAATGGGTGAAACATCTAAGGTAAATTTTGAACATCTTGTCATTAAAAAAAGTGATATAAAAAATTAGGGTGCCACCTTGAAGAGACCCATTGACCAAAAGGGACAAGTAACATCCCTTTGAAGACATTATAAAGATATTATTATAAAGATATTCAAAGCACACAGACAGAACGTCAGTGCTCACCCTCAGAGGATACACGCTGGGAAGCCAAATCATTATTCTAAAAACTGGTAAATAAAGGAAAAAAAGCAATGCATATATTTTACTTTTTCAATATTTGCTGTAACGAAACGACAAGAAGTGACAGTTTCCCTGCACAGAATTCATATATGTAAATAAATAACGAAAGGAAGGCAGGACTAGAATATTCTCAGTTTGCAGCCCTTCCTTGAAGAATTAAAGACCGGATTAGTCCACCAAGAGCCTCAAAATGGAAATAAACAACGTCATCAGCAAAACGTTCTTGAGAAGAAGTGAAACCAAAGTCATAACGAGGCTTGTGGTATAACAATGAGCTTACAAGAAACAGCAAGAATGCAGGCGTTAAATAGCAGCAAGGGAATATCAACAGAATCCAGACTAGAGGGAGTGCTGGGGGGAGATGACTCAGGCTCGTCTGGGCTTTTTCTAATATATTGCAATGAGAGAGAGACAGAGACACACAGAGAAAGAGACAGGAAGACAGAGACATGGAGAGACAGAGACACAGAGAGAGACAGGAAGACAGAGAGAGAGAGAGACAGGAAGACAGAGACAGAGAGAGACAGGAAGACAGAGAGGGACAGAGACAGAGAGACAGAGACACAGACAGGAAGACAGAGACAGAGAGGGACAGAGACAGAGAGAGAGAGACAGAGAGAGACAGAGACACAGAGAGACAGACAGGAAGACAGAGTCAGAGACACAGAGAGAGACAGAGAAGGTCAGAGACAGAGACACGGAGAGACAGAGAGAGACAGGAAGACAGAGAGGGACAGAGACAGAGAGACAGAGACACAGAGAGACAGAGACACAGACAGGAAGACAGAGACAGAGAGGGACAGAGACAGAGAGAGAGAGACAGAGACACAGAGAGACAGACAGGAAGACAGAGACAGAGACACAGACAGAGACAGAGAGAGACAGGAAGACAGAGACAGAAGGAGCCATAGAAGGACAGAGAGAGACTGCCAGAGGAAATCTGAGAAGAAACACCAGGGGCTTCTCCTGCTCTGTGTGGCCCATATATGGATCTTAATTCAAACCAAAACTCTGAGATAGATGGGGAAACTTGAACTTTGCCTGAATATTTGATAATGTGTGGGAATTATGATTTTTTAAAGTGAGGCACTGACCTTTTGCTTTAAAAGTCCTTATTTTCTACAGACACATACTGAACCATTTATAAACAAAATGATATAATGTCCAGAATTTGGCTCAAATAATCCAAAACAGGTACAGCTGAGCCAACACTGACCTTGTGTGATAATTACTGATGCTATACATATGGATTTTAAAAAACACTATCTAGTATGTTGGAACTTTTTCATGACAAAAAGCTATCTCTTAAAAAACTACTAAACCTGTAACTTGTGGGTTTTTCTTATGCTTCATTTATCTGTAAGATAAAGACTATACATTTGAGAATCAATTTAGACCCTGTGTGCCTAGAATAGATTACCCTGTAGGAGCATGGGCAAGAAAATGAAGTACCTATTTTGTGGCAAACAAGAATGCCTTTCCCCCCACTTTTTTCTCTAACTCAGCTTTCTCCTACAACTCTATTCATTATTGTCACATCCACTTGCTTTCCAGCCCGTGAGTCAGTCGAGGTGGAAGCACTGTTCTGTTGGAGCGCAAGAGGTGCCAGGAAGGCACAGGTGTGAGCTCCTACGAGAGGCCGTGTCCTTATCGACAACGTGTAATCCTGTGCTGGTTACAGAAGCTGCAATGTTAACATGAGTTAAGGGAGAGCTCAGCCGCTGCAGTTCACCCTGAGTCAGGGACATCCTCCCCAGTCAAAGCCCAGGCTCATTCGCACTGTGGGACCACCCAGGAAAGAACAACTTTGATGTTCTAGACTCCCACATGCTGTCCGTCCAATCACAAGCCAGATCACAGCGACAGATCACCCTCTGGCCAGCCCGTTCCCTCTCTAACGCCCGAGGGCAGCTGTTAGCTTCAGAGTGCAAGAAGTGGGAAAAATAAAGTGAGGGAAACTGCCCTTTCTTTGGTTCTCCCAGTCTATCAGAAAATCTATAGTGTTCCGCGGCATGAGAACTGTCGCTGAATCAGTGCAAACAGGAAAAGGAAAGTTGTTCTCACACAGGTGTACTACTTTCATAAACATGGCACGATTCAATCGGTCGTGAGCGACCCTGCCTCACTCTCCAGGCTCACCCTGATCCCTGAGCTCTGCTCGGCACCTACGCTTCCTTCCATCGTTTGCACGGATCAGTCTTTATTTTTAACATTTTTTCTTCAACATTTTTCCAATAACAGAATATGTCATGTCTAGGGATGATTTTCATTCACTACACATGGAAATTCTCAGGGACTAGATGTCCAACATGTGGCCAGAGCATCTAGTTCAGAGCCAGAAAGCCCCGAGGACTGGCTCTGACATGGAGAGAGATGCTCTTCTGGCTCGCTGGGCCACCACGCGAGCTTTGAGAGCTCAGCCCGGGCCAATCAGCTTTCCTCGCTGTGCTCCACGGACGCCTCGGCTAAATCAACTACAACACGACGGCCGCTGGACGTGAGCTTCCAGCAAGGCCGATTTAGCTTTCTCCACCCAAGATGTGTCACTTGACAACAGCAGGAGGAAGTCCGAGTTACACGTGAGTGTTTATTCTGTCAATATTTGCTTTATAATGCTGTCCATTATTTCTGATAGTATAATTAAAGGAAATATACTTAATTTCTAATGCTAGGGATATCACTTTACAGTGTAAATACTTTTCTGACTCTCGGTATGTATTAGTTTCATTTTGCTCATTAATCTGGGCGTGATAATATTGAGGGACATGATACTTTTTTAGGGAGTTTCACACATTACCAAACACATATAGAACACTTATTCTGTTTGTAAATTTGTGGTAGGGCCCAGCGATGAGTGTGAAGAGTGCTGGGAAATTCCTCTTACTCTCCGAAATGTTTTCTAACAGCTAACGTGAACCTGAATTTTCAAAGCCAGCAAGAGACCAATTCCTTCAGCTCAGTCTCCTCCACAAGGGGTTACAGTAAGACCTACCAGTTACTTACACCTTGAGGTGACGGACCATGCTGTGAAATCCTGTCTTAAAGAGACCTGCCTGGAGGAAGCTGGGCTGTCAGGGGAGGTGGGAAGCAGAGGGAGAAGGGGGACGTGGACTGGGTGGAGCTGCAGAGACAAACTCTGAGTAATTCCTATTCTTAAGACCTGTTGCTATACTACCATTTCCAGTGAAAGCCAATGTTATATTCACTTGAAATGCTGATTTCAGTTTCTGAGGATCATTTTGAGATTTAAAATCAAAGTAGTGATACCATTATCGAAACGGTTTTTAGACCAAGCAAACAAACAAACAAAAAAACCATTTTCACTAGTTACATCTTTCTCTGCTTTTAAAGACATTTTTAACCCATTACCACTAACATAATTTTCCAAGAAGGCTATAGAGCTCTTTCTTATAAAGAAAAATTCGAAATGCTTCTGAATTAGAATTAAACGACTATTAAAAGTTAATATATAACTTAGATATAGCAAGGACATAAAAACTGATCTATGTAGATGATCACATCAATTTTTCCCCTTTCAATAAGTTTAACACTTTAGCAACTAAAATCATGGGTCTCTTAGTCTTTTATAGGTGTGCAATTTAAATAATTGAAATTCAATTCACGAACTACACTGCTCAATCAGAACTATCTAGTGGAGCTGTACCTTTTGTACAGTGATGGGGATGGTGCTTGGGACACCTGCGTGTCAAGGATCTGGGCTTCTTTTAGACGTTTTCTACGCGTTGCTTTACTGTTCGGGGCATGCAAACACTAATTCCATCATCCCTCTTCAACACTGCCCATGAGTCTCAAAGCTATGATTTATGTCAGGATAAGCTTTCAGTTCCCAATAACACTATCTACATAACAGTACGTTGCCTTCTCTCACATCAGATTTCACAGTAAACACCTCACAGGTGAGAATTTCCAGGGGGAGGCAGAAAGCTTGCCAGACACGTCAGGAGGAATATTTGTCCAGCTCCTCACAGTTTCAGATTTCCCAGCTGTATCCATTTCCAACATTCAGCACATCGTTTATGGGCAGAGTAAACACACAAACGCGGTGGCACAACATGCCATCTCTAACCTTTGCAAATCAGGAAAAACTTGGTCACATTCCTTACACTCCTGGATGGCATGTATCTCTCGGAGGTCATTGTCACTTTCAAGCTTTTGTTGGAAGTCCTCTTCCACCATGGAGAACGCAGAGTGAGGTGTGCTGCATGGGAATTTTTGGTGATCTGCTAGTTCAGCCTTGGATTCAAAGAGCTGATCGCAGTCCTCACAACGATACTGCCGCTCCTCTGTGAAAACAATCCTGGGGTTACTAGAGTCAGCGGGGGGTCAGGCAGTGCCACCACAAACTAGACTTTCCTGTTGAATGATGAAGGACATACCAGACATGATTGTATTGGCATTTATTCCATGTTAATTTCAATATGGACCGAAAAGAACATAGGTAAAGGATGCAGGCTAGAGTCAGGACAATCATGTCAGCAATTATTGTGGCTGTAGCACAATTTTCCTGATCACATTAAACCTTCTTACTAAACTTCTACAGGTTCAGAGGACACAAAAAGGAACAGCTGCAATTTACATCATCTAGCTAATACACGATGATTGGTGTCCCTTGATATTTAAATCTGAGGAATTGTAAACCCTATTTCCATTCTAATATTCAGATGGGGCTGCTGAGGCTCAGAGAAGCTAGCAGACTGGGCATACAGTATGGAGCTGAGTGACTGGGTCAGGTCTGGAAGCCATGTCTCCTCACTACCTTGCCTTCCCTGGGTACTTGTCCCTGTGACACGGTACCTGCAGTGCTCATGGGACAGGGTCTGCTCTGAGCCACACTTATTCTGGTTTATAGCAGCAACCTTCTGTCTGCTCTAACAGGACACAAGGACACAGGATGGTGTTAGGCCCCTTCTAGGTTAATTTTTTTATCACTACAAGGTCAGCACTAGCTGGCACAGCTTCGTGAAATGGCAAACATATTGTGATTTGCACTTTAAATCAATAAGATAAATAAATGCAGTTGTGGTGACAAAAGATAACAAGGTTATAAAACATCAGATGTGGTTAGGTGGTGCTGGCTCTATTCTTTCCATTTCAATAGCTTTTAGCATACTTATGAGGCCACATTGTGCACGGGTCACAAAGATACACTCAGAGAAGTCTTGAAACCAGCTCAGGATGCTGCAAAACTCCTCAAGGAAAGAGTATGACACAGCAGCTCATTTCACAGACTAGACAAGGAACCTGCTGCTTTTCAGTTGTTCAGTGACTAAACTGTTTGGAAATAGCGTAGTGACCTACCACGTGCTGGACACTTTGCTAAAGAACGAACAACACAAAAGTCAAGAGGATACACATGGGAACAAAGGCACGGTGATATGGTTTATGACCCACGCGTGCTTATGGCCTCAAGGAGTCCAGGCGAGCCTGCCTAAGCCAGCTAATCCAGAGGACAAGGGTTCAGAAAGACTTTGAAAGGCATGAAAATCATTCAGGGGACGTGGGATGAGGGGAAGCGGGAATCTTAGGCTGCAGGAAGAGCAAGAAGATGGAGCATTTGTAGCGTGGTGGAGCTCAAGTGGCGTGTGATAGGTTTATAGGGTGCATGCAGGGGAGGGGTAGGCAAAGAAGGCAGAGAGTGGCAAATCACTGGGACTTGGGACAGAAAGCGCTAGGAGTCAGGAAAGCAGGGACACAGGCGACTCCCCTCCCCCAGGGGGAGGCCACGGGGACGCTGCTCTAAGGCGTGTACAGTACGGGTTTAGTTTACTAACAGATGGGCAAGAAATGAGGGTGTAGATTCAATGTCAGCTTTGTCTGCAGAAGGGCAAGGAAGACGAGAGTATTCTAAAATAAATCACTTCAGCTCCAAAGACAGGAATTCTCAATGATGTACTGGTTAAGAGAAACGCTTCCTGTAGAGTGTAACTCCATTCACATATTTAAGTCTAGTTTTAGGCCTTCAGCCAGGAATCTGAACATAAACAGAACTCCCAAGCCACATAATACATGGAAAAAGCAAAGGTATTAGACACAGCAAAGACCTCAGCCTGCCCATTCAGCTTCAGAATCTGTCATACTGAATGGACACCCTAGCTTCTAAAGTTATTTGCATGCCAGAGCTATGAAAAGGGAAAAAAGTTTTTTTCAAAGACCTGCATAGACACAACTGGTAGGGCCTGCAAAGAGGCAGAATGCACCTCAGGCAAAAAAAAAAGTGTGCAAGTGAAGAAAGACACTGGATGCTGGGAGCAGCCTTGGCTGGCACAAGCTGAGGCGGCAGAAGCTGAGGCTGTCCCACCTGCCATCTAGAGGAGGGAGGGCTGTGTGACCCCACCTCCCGATGGCTCTTGCAACTGCAGACACCCCAGGGGTGTGTTGAAGTCAACCTTACTGCATTAGGAGAAAGCCATATAAGGGAGGAATAAAAACATATTACATTTCCATCTCAATAATGCAAATCGACTCAAGCAGTTTTCTCAGAATCTGTCTTGAACACTCAAGACTACCAAGCCTTATTATGCCTGACTCTCCCTCCTGTTGATCCCGATGAGGACTACGGCAAGTAAAAATCCCTCCATACCATGGTGGTGAGGATTTTATTCCAGTTGCTTTTTCCAGTAATAGAGCATCAAGTGGATGAAATATCTGCCACATTTAAAAACCTCCAAGTGCAGCTTCCAGCACTAATTCAAATGTGGCAAGGCTTCTCACCAAAGTCGAAGTGAAATTTCAGTTTAAAAATTCAGAATTCCAGGGCAGGTATGTGGCCTAGTGCTGGAGGGGGCAGGGCCGGGGAGGGGCACCTGCTCCATCCAGGTCCTAGGTTCTAGCTCCCGCGCATCCTGAGCTGACAGCTCAGGTATTGAGTTGCTGTCACCCACATGGAAGACCCAAGCTTGCAGCCCAGGCTCCCAGCTGCAGGCTTGCCCAGCCCCAGGCTTGCCCAGCCCCTGCCCTTCTGGGCATCTGTGCAAGAAATCAGGGATGGGAGCGTGTGCTCAGTCTCTCTGTCTCTCCTTCTCGCGTTCTCTCTCTCCTCCCTACTCCCCTCTCAAGAAATGTTCTTAAATTTCAAATACTCCAATCTCCTTTGACCTCCTCTTCAGAGCAGGAATCTCTGTTTGCTTTGAATTCATCACAGTAGCAGCCAGATGTGAAACTAAGAAAATAGCCAACCTAAGAGACCCAGTTTGTGAAGACCGACATTGAAGCATCAAGCCACTCCCAGGGTGGCGGCCCCTGCAGAGCCTCTGTCCCAGAGCGTGGCCCCAGGCGGGGACTCACCATGGATGTCCGGGGCCATGGCCTCATGGGAGTAGTCTTCACTCTTCATGAACAGCAGCAGCTCCTCTCCGGGCGCAATCTCTACCACCGCTCTGTAGAAGATCTTCCGGTGCCGGGGGACGAGGAGAGCAAGAAGTGAGGACCAGCACAGACAGTGTGGACACTACAGCTGGACATTTTCTTACACCATAACAAACATACTCCTTCTTACTTTTCTGTTTCAGACAGCTTGACCTCCTGCTTTACACACTGGCAAAGATTCCCTCAGTGACTCCCAAGCCAGTTCACAAGCCTTTTCCAAATCCTACATCAGAGTCAGACTCTCTTAATGCCGGCCTTGCTGGCTCCCACACACCCTGTGTGACTGAGCACAGAAGTGTCTGAGGTCCTCAGAGCACCCCGCACGCCTCACACACACAGCACTGAGTTCTGTCCTGGACTGTCCATCAGGTGCCTCGCCAGCTGCACAGTCTCCTTTCCTGGAGCAGATTCTCCCAGGAGCGCTTTCCTAACAAGACGAACCAAAGGTAAGAAGTTGCAAGGATGTGGCATAAGCACTCAGCAAGGCTAAGAAGGAACCAAAAGGCAGCAGAGAAGAGTTTTAAAAAGTGCAATTCTTCTCTCAGTCATCAGAAGGAACCCCCGCACCCAGGGCCTGCCCTTCCAGCCCAGCCCGGACTCTGACTCCTTGAAATCGGACACTGCACCATATATTGATTCATTTATTGGCTGAGGCCATGCCTCCTCCTCTTGTTTTCTAGTGCAGTGCTAAGAAAGGGAGGGATTTCAGAACCTGTTGATGGCTACCTACGAAGCAGTGGGCGCAAGCGCAGCAAGAACTTGACCTGAAATGCCTAGAAGCTTTCTTCCACTCCCCTAGCAGCTGGGAGACCCGGGCCAGCCATTTCCCGTGCCAGTGCCCAGTGCCAAGGAGTCTTCATTTGGAAATGTCATTAAGCATGAAAACCTGCAGCATGTCTGTCTGCTCTACCCTTGAACTGTTTTCGCTGCATTCTAAGACGATTTGTGCAACAATAAATCCATGGTCACATAGATTTCGGAAGAAAACATGAACTTGCAGAATTCATTGGTCAAAACAGACACACTGAAATCTGTAACAGTGTCTGCAAAAACTCCACTGTGTTCTGAGGAGATCACTCCTTTGCCTTCTGTCTGCTTGTCCACTTCACCAACTAGAGTCCTTTTTAGCCAATCCCCTGACTAAGGATGTACGTTAACAGAATTTCACCCTCTGAGTCAAAAAGTGCCAGAGTCACACAGACACACACAACCATCACCTCTGCCACCGCCGCAGCAACCACCAAAACACGTGGCTAAAAGTCCTCCACCACTCACTGGCACACTCTGCTGACAAAAGGCAAGACTCTCCTTAGGAACTGTCACATTCCCACGTTCCCCTACATCACGCTCCTGCGGTTTCTTGCAGGGCCACTTAGCATTTCAAACTGAGCAAAGCTATGTGAACTAATGTCATTTACAATCAACAGAAATCTCAGATTTGAATTCTGTTTACCTATTTGTCTCTCAAAAAGTGGATATTAAACATAAGTGCATGCCTCTTTATTCCAGTAGGTGGCTCTAAAGGCCAATTGCTTATTTTTCTATAAAAAGACAGAGCACCAAATTATGCTAAATTAAAAAAATAATATTATTAGCTTGATGAGAGGTCTTTCCCCCTCTTCAATTGCTGTCCTGTTAAAATGAGGTTTCCATTGTATGGTAGGTAGATCACCTAGTTGAGAGAAAATGATCCCAAATCTACAATTCTGCGACTACAGCAAAACCTCAGGTTCTTTCTTATATCTGTTCATAGATAGGGAACAGGTTATTCTTAGAAAGAAAATTATTTCTTACTATAAGTTGTTTCCGTTTTGTCTTTCTTGTTTTTAGATAGTAAATTTTAAGGTTGTGTCTTACACCTAACTTTCACCTTGTCTCTTCTTTGGAAGTACAGAGAAGTACAGTTCTGTGTAAAATGTTACCAGATTTAAAGTCATAAGAATGTGTGAATTCGGCTCTTTCCCCTCAGCCTTGCGGCTAAACGCGCAGGGGAGCCCTGCGCCTCTCTGAAGTCCCATTTCCCCTTGGAAAACAATGGCTCTTCCTACCACCTCTATCACCTCTTGCAGGTTTAACTTCTTAGTTTCCTCTCCAACAACAGGTTGCCATTTCAATTGTGACATCTTACAACTTTTTGCTGGCTTCTCAGAAACAGAGAGGTGGAGAGAGACAGCACCTGCCAGACAGACAAGGTGCCGCTGTCTGCTGGGGAATGGTGCTGGGACAGGCAAGCCAGGCCCTTTAAGAAAGGATTCCAGTAGCACCACGCCTTCTAGTCCACTATTAATCATGCCTCTTTTAATTCCATTTCAGATGTGCTCAATCCAATGTGAGCAGTCCAAGGAACAAAAGAAAATGATGGCTACACTGTAACCATATATTATAAAGACAATTCCCTTTGCCTGGACATAGATCACTACCATAATTTCCCCTTAAGTGTCCAGATTGTCATGTGAAGAATATTGAGTGCATAAAAAATAAAAGACACCGAAGATGTTGATGTTGGCTTTATTTACTGGAGGTAAAAGGTGACATTCCAGGCCATGAGAAGCGAGGCAAGGCAGAGTGGATTTTAAACTTCAGGGTGTTCTTTTCGATTTTAAGTGATTTTTTATGGTACTCATGAAACTGGCGAGCAGCAGACATAATGAGGGCAGATCCTGGGCACGCTCCCCCACACAGCAGGAAGAAGGTGCCCGGAGGCCCGTCCTACCCAGCCTAACCAAGCCAGTTCTCTCAAGGTGTCACCACTGCCTGTACACCTCATTCTCGCTCACCTCTGAAGATGGTGAGACAGTCAGAGCCATAGTCTCCCCCTCTGCTTGCAATGGCCCCCAAAATAATTTAGACTCTTCTAAACTGAGCTACCTATTTATGAATATAGTTTGCTTTTCATCAATAATAAGCCTTCAAGAAGAGGAGAGAATAATTTTTAGAAATTGGTGCTTTGAAACCAATCCATCCGGAGATGACGGGATATAGTCATGGGAGAACCAGCTGCACTTCTAGGTCATAAAATAGAGATTTTTATCAAATAAAAATGAAGCAAAGAACAGAATTTATGCAGATTTTCTCATAGCTGTGTATAGCAAATATGTTAGACTACGCTTATACAAACCATCAGGATGCCTTTAAAATCAGTATAATCTCAAACTCGCAGCTATGCTGCAGTCATATGAATTATCTGTTGTCTGAGCTGTGAACCAGAAGCAAAAACACTGCTAATAAAATCTCCCTGGTTTTTCTGTTGGGGAAAAAATGGAAGGCAGTCAATCACTGTGTTAAGTCAATGAAAGGGTTAACGGGACTCTTCTCCCATGGGGGAGTTTATGAGCAAAAGAAGGGCTGGGGACCCAAAGGGAAGGGTCTGAATCGGACAGTGGAGCTGAGTCCATCACACGCAGGAAGGCAGCCTCAACATCCAGACACTGCAGTCTGAACGGAAACAAAAAGCCTGTTCCCTTTCTGTTCTTCTGACTCTCACAGAATGCTACAAGAGAAGGAAAAGATCCTTCCAAAGATGGGGCGAAGGGAGAAGGGACGGAGCCTACTGCACATGCAAGAATAGAGGGCTGTGTGCAAATCCATTGGATGAAAAAGTGTTGACAAATATGTTTAGACTGTGTTAACTCCTCCAGCACATTCTATCTGGCAGCTAAGACCCAAATCCAGAAATACAACAAGTTATGAATATGACCTAACTCTCAAACACTTCAAACTTTTGAAATTTCTGATAAGATTTTCATTCTATCATATAAAAGTTGTATTTTCCCAGTATCTGTGGGGCTTTTTCCTCTCACCACAAATCTGCGTTTCTGTCTTGGTAAGTCTGCATTCTGTGTTTGGATCTCTGGAAACCTCAATTCATTAGGAAAGTGTTTTGATAAGAGATCTCTCTGTATTCTTTTATTTTTGAGGTTGTTAAAATAGCACACTAGTGACATTTGTGAACTTTTAAAGAACTTCAAGCCATTCAAGTGTCCATAGTGTTCATTTACACTATTGCTAAGATTCGTAACTTAAAGCACAAATACAACATTATACCTTCAGACAAGAAGTACATACTCTAAGCATAGCTTGCATATGAATCCATTTCCGTCAAATCTTGAAACCAATTCCAAGTAACAGGAGAGTCGATGCGGTTGGTAGTGCCAAGGCTAAGCTAGCAACAAGGGGCAGTGGTGACGTGTGTCACTCCACATCCACATTGAAACGTACACCTTCACATGAGGTTTTATGAAGTACACATGTGCCTGGACATACTCGATAGCTTATCTATTATATACCAATGCGGCCAGGATTTTGTTTGGGGAAATCTTTAAAAATATAAAAACCCTAGCAAGCTCACATTTGAGCTCAGTGACATAGAAAATTCTCCATGTATGCCACGTAAGCTATATTTACTACATATTATGTTAGACACTACTATATTAAAAGTGATGAATTTGAAATTAATGGGAATTAATCCTATATAATTATATATTCAATCTCTTTGTTTAATTCCCAAAGGATAATGCTGTAGGTAGTGTGGGCATTCAAACGCATTCTGATAATACGTCATGAAAAACGTGCAGGCTAATTCTATTTCATATTGTCAAGACCTGCGTTCAAACCCTCCATCATATAAACGATAGCACCATGATACTTGTAAAGTGATACTACTGTGGCTCTTGCTTTTTATCCTATAAAACAGGAAAACCCGCAAACCAGCAAAACAGTCTTGCTATCCACCTGGTTATGTTTCCACCTATTTCAAGTACCAAGCTTATGCTAGTGAGAAGAAAGACAAATTCTGCGTATCAGGGGACAAACAAGAAGGCAAGCCAGCAAGTCAGTTACTTTGCAAAGGACGAACAAGGCGTCATTGTTACGAATCCCCGTTTACTTTTCCTGGGCCAGCATTGGAAGTTTTATTTATGCTTATTAGGCTACATTTGGCATGTCTGAAAATGACAGAAGTGTGAATTATGAGTGACCTTCAACCTATTCAGGAAGTTGCAATAATTGAAATAATACAGAAAT